ATCTTACACTTATAATGAGAAGTGCTCACTTTGTGGAATAATGCTTCCCAAAATACGTAGAGAAAATCGGTACCTACGTTAGACTTCCCAAACGGACAGAGCTTTCCTTTTACGCTGTTTGCTGTTTTTAATCCCCCATAGTGCTTTTTTGCTGAGGATGATTCCATTTCTATGTTTATTGTAAAGAGTACGAGACTCATTGAATGATTTGTAGTTTATACTTTTTAAGTTTATGAGTTTATATATTGTATAAGTTTAGGTATATATAATAGCATTGATTTTTAAAGCTCATACTATTATACAGTTAATGCTTTTTTATACTTTTAAGGTTTTTATACTTGATGCAGATATTCTTTTTTTTTTGTTTAATGTTTAATGTTTTGTTGGGTTAGGCCCTTTCGGTCCATTAAGACCATTTCAGAGCCGGAAGGATGATAGGATATAGGGGGAGACATCGGTCTGGGCAGGCACCCTAGTGAGTCGCCGGGGCTGAGCCCGTCCAGAGGACAGGCCACCCAGCCCCAAGGCACTCACTGCACCCGGCTACGGGGTGCGCTCCCTCGGGAGCAGCGGTGCAGCTCCAAGGGAGCAGCCCGCATGAGATAAAGTTGCCTGTCCAGCCCGGAAGGGGGTTGCGGCGTGGCGGAGAAGGATTTCAGTATCCTGAGGATAGAAGCACGGAACGGTGATATTCTTTTTTTGCAGATATTTTTTCATTCTTGATGACCTTCCAAGTGTTTTGTCAGTTCGCCGTACAAGGCCAGTTATGAAGTGACCCGTATTGTCTACGTAATTTTCAAATGTTCGAACTTTTCGATAAAAATTGGCGATTTTTCAAAATTATAAAGGGAGACGCCATTGCTATGGTAACGTACTAATTGTAGATAGTGTAAGGTTGACAGGGCTTATCTAGCTTCCGGACAACAAGGCTTCATTTTCCGTCCGCAGTGCTGCGCCGAAAGCTTGTTGCGCGGTCCGACCTAGCTCAGCTCGATAGGCGGTGTCTGACGGGGGGCTGGCTGCCGGCCCACCTCTGTACACCGCCCACCACAGCGGCGGCCACAGCGAGCACCCGGCCGCCACGGAACCTAACCGTGCCGGCGAGTACCCGGCCGCCACGGAACCGAACCGTACCGGCGACCTCCGAGCCGAGCACAGCTCCTGCGCCAACGGCGTCACCAGTCACCAATCCACCCCCTCCAGTCGCCGTTCCATTTCTGACTCAAGTCACCGATCCCTCTACCTCTACCGTCACCGATCCCTCTCCATCTACCGTGGCCGATCCCTCTACCACTATCATCACCGATCCCTCTCCCTCTACCGTCGCCGACCCGTTTCCCTCTACCGTCACCTCTCCCTCTACAACTACCGTCACCGACCCGTCTCCCTCTACCATCACTGAACCCTCTCCCTCTACCATCATCGATCCCTCTACCACTACCGTCACCGATCCCTCTCTGGCTACTGGCCCCATGCGACCGTCTACCTCTCTGTTCCCAACCACCGCTCCCGTGAAATCAGTCCTCTCCGGCAGATTCCTCCAGTCTCGATCTCTCCTCAATGGAGGTCTGTCCGGGAACACGATCCTGACACTCATAGGCAGGTATGCCAGCAGCTTCTACTACTACGCTGTTAGTAACTCAAATCTGCCTGCGAGTAATCTGCATCCGATCGACTAATCCCTATCACAGACGGTTATGTATGGGGAATGCCAAGAAACTGCGCATGCAAAGGGTAAAACATGCGTTTTAGGACGACTTCATTTTAGACTTCTAGCAACAGTATTGTTAGCACTTAGCTTACGTTTCCTTTCTGGATATATTTTTTTCTACATGTTCAGAGCGCTTTGAATGAACGAATTGACGAAACCAAGGTCCGCAATAAGCTCTAGGCACTGGTCAGTAGGTCTAGGTACTCGTTACATAAACTGTGACATCCATCGTCCGCTTAGCAAATTTCAGTTGTCGAGACAATTTAGATGCCAACGTTTAACGTGTCGTCAAAATCCGGACACGGTCGTACCACTTAAAACAAAGAAATGAAACGTCAAAACAATTTTTATTTAATACTGCATTGCCTATAATCCTACCAAACAAAAAATGTGATTTATGATGACCATCTGAGCAGCCGGTTTTCGTGGAACTTGAAGTTGATCGTTGATCAGCGGATGACGCTTACGAATGTCTCTAAAGAGTTCGAATGTTGAAATTAAGCCAAATCTCGGTAAAATGGGTTCAGATTTTAATTCATTTCAACTTTTGTCTTCGCGCATTTCCGTTTGGTATAGGTACCAATATCCTGAGTGACGTTTCATTCGATATGGGCTGTCGCATGCAATCAGGAAAGAGCTAGGTCATAGGTGATTTGACTGTACTAGCGTTTTCCAAGTCATTAATTTATAAGGTTGGCACGAATGGCTACGGATCAAGGAATATGTCTGTCTGCTATCCAATTCCATTTTCCACGCCTATCTGGTGACCACCGAAAATGACCTATTTAGAGGATCCTAAAAGCATTGGGCTAAGACGGTGGCTTTCGACGGTGATCGTATAAATATAGGATTGTGTGTAACTATTGAGCCAGGAACCAATGTTTGAAGGAGGGATGGACGTTTAGAACGTCAACTTTTATTTGGAGTTTTGTCTTTCGGAGGACAGTTTTAACGAGACTTGATCAAATTTGCAATTAGTTATTATACGTAAGTATTTGAGCATCGCCGTATGCACGATTTTAGGCACACCCAGTTCACCAGTAAAGTCTATAGGAAATATTTTACTTTACATACATATTTTACTTTACTTTTTACTCGTATACCTAAACAGCACAGTATAAGACAAAGACAGTTCTATTTATATATATTTTAAGTACAGCTCACAAGATAGTTCACCAAGGTCGCAGTTTTGCTTACAATGAGTTGAACTGAAAATTGGTCCATTTAGTTGCACACGATCACAGATGAAAGTGAAACCCACATCAGATCGATGATTGTTCCTAAAAAAAAATATAGGGGAGAGAAAAGGAAGGGATACCTAAATAAGGTAACCCGTCAGTGCACAATTAGGTTACAATTTTCAACTCCATTTTTTTATTATCATGAGAGGTGGGCGACGTGAAAAATATAGCAGCTCTGAGCGAAATCTATAATTTGCCGTTACTTTATTTTATTGATTTCATTTCGCTTCAATTTCACGTACCTACCTATAGATTACCATAAAGCGGGCAATGAGCGGGCCAAGGCGCCAATCCGGTACCGAAAACATAGTCTTCCAGTTTCCACACAAAAACATGCGCAGCTTTCTTCGAACTTGTGCCGATGCCTACCTGCATAATTAACTTATTACCTATTTTGAGTATCAATACATACCTATAGTACATACATCAGAGTCATAATTTCTACAAATGTATGCGAAAAGGACTATAAATGAGTACCATAAAGCATAATACCATAAAGCCATGAAGCAACCATAATGCCGTAATGAATTATGTCGTAATAAATTATGAACAACGCAGCGTAGCTGTAGTATTTAACAACACTTATACCGTACGATTTAATATGAGGATTGAAGATGCATTGAAAGGAACTTATTTTATGTGACTAACCTTATAAAAATAAAACAATAGCAAATAAAACAAATAAAACAATAAAACATAGGTCTTAGACTAATCACTTATCCGCGAATGCTCATAAATAAACAAATGGCTTTATCTAAAAAAATAACTTTAGCAGATAAAACACTTTTTTAATTTACTTACAAGAGACTAAGGAGCTAACTTGAACATATACCACCAGACCAAAAAAGTCTGCGTAGCACAACGGAGAGGCCCTGAACGCTATGAGGATCTGCGATAAATTAACAATATCGATGAACGGATAGCTTGTTTAGGCTTTATGCATTGCAAAAGAAATGCATTTTCGAAACGCTGAATGTAAAAAAAGTTTAAAAATAAAAACATTCACCTGCCGTGACTATGACTAGATAAAGCTACGCCTACGGTATATTTCGAGGTGCCCTCCGTTGCTGACCTTGCCGCCTGTCTGGCAGGTGATGCGGCCGCGCCGCCCGGGCGGGAGCTGGTGGCTCGCGGGGCCGACGGCGCGTCGCTCTCCGGCCAGCCCGCCGCCCCCGACGCTGCGCCGCTCGGGACCGATGTTACGGAGCCGGTCGGTGTTACGGAGCCAGTCGGTGTTACTGAGGCAGTCGAGGCGACGGAGGAACCCGTCGCCGCCCCCACCGCCCAGCCCGACCCGTCTGCTGATGGAGAGGCCGGTCCGAGCGAGATTGAGGCCGACGGGGAGGCTCCTCCGACTGACCCAGCAGCCGACGGGGAGGCCCCTCCGACTGACCCAGCAGCCGATGAGAGCAGCACCGTGGCACCGTCGGCCACAGAACAGCCAGCGACACCGGCAGCGGAACCAGAGACGGAACCTGAGGCGGACGAGTCGGGAACACCCCCGGCCACCGCCGAGACATCGCCTCTCCCAACGGAGCCATCGTCTGTAGCGGAAACTGAGACGGCACTGCAGACGGAGCAGCCGACCACTGCGGCCCCCGCGGCCTTCGCCACAGAACAGACTCCCGCTGATAGTGAAGTGGTCACAGAGACTGCCGAACCCGGCTCTACACCAGCCACAGCACCGCCCACGGAGCCAGCGGCGGAGGGGCTGGCCGGGTCCGAGCAATCCGGGGAGGCGGAGAAGATAAGGTTACCAGGTAACTATTGCAGCGTGAAACACCCATTTCAGTATGCATCGGTTGTATTTAGTGCACGCTGCCACTGGCTCTTACCTTTAAAAAAATGAGAAATTGTTTTACCGTCAAAGGCACCACCTGCCAGCAACCTAATTATACCGTTTACTGCAACATATAAATTACAACCGATAAAATTGTTCTGTGCCTAATCTGTTTCGCGTCATTCCATCAACGTCATACGATTAAGTTTGAATTGTGCAGTGTACTCCAGTCTCATTTTGATCGGCATGTGATATTTCCTTTCAGAGGATGACGGCAGCCCTGGAGCGACGGTGAAGGACAGGACCCCTGTCTCGGCAGGAATGGATGAAGACCCAGGGAAGACCATGAAAGACGGCAAACCTAATGGTGCGGAGAAGGATGGCGACAAAGGAAAAGCAATGAAGGACGATGACACTGCGGAGGTCGCCAAGGGCGCAGGGAAGACAGCGAAGGACGACGGCTCTGAGGAGATGATGGAGGACGCCGACCCTGCGGCCCCAGAGAGGAAGGAAGGCCCTGAAGGCACAGAGGAGGAAAGCGACCCGATGGAGATGACAGTGAACCTCAATGACGTCTACAGTCAGGGCGTCACGTCTCACATCGACGGGCCTTCTGTGCTGTCTGACAGCGTGCACACCTCGATGAAAAACCTGTTCCTGCGGCCGCGCCAGGTGGCCTACCAGCTGGGCCGGCACACCGTCAGCACGCACGTCACCCAACTGGAGGTGAGGCATTGTCGCCAGGCGGGTGCACACCTGATATTAGCGCCTTAGCGATGCTGATCATACGCAGATCATATCCATGACTCAATCGTTATTGGATTCAGTTGCTATTCGGTATCTGCTGTTGTAGCGATGTTGTCGTTGACGCGTCTTACAAACCACAATTGTTTCACAGGTGTCCGGAATCGATAAGATGACTATTTTGAGTGTCAGCAGCAACGTGGACGACATGTCTCTAAACGTCACCTTCCAGTTCCCGGAGATCACGTCAGTGCCGATCGTGGGGTCGTAAATCTCCTCACCTAGTGCCGCTATTTGCTTGGGTTTATCAGCCCCGCGTTAGCTTTCAGCATAGATGACAGTAGAACTGTTATCTATGCTGTTCTGCTGTTATCTATGCTTTCATATAATGTAATGTGTTTGAGACACGACAAAAAGTAATTTGACTTCTTTTGACAAGATTTTATGCGACACTGTATCATCATGCCTGTTCCAGTTTTCGCCTCGAATTCGCTGCGGGAGATATGTATGGAACAATCATAGAGAACTTGACTTAAATTGGGCATTTTATTTGTATTTTATTCATAGCTATAAGTATAGCTGACTGGTATTGGGACCCGACTGAGATCCAAGCCACGTTCCCGTTTACTCATAACGTTTCACATGCATTCATGGTAAACACGAATGACTTAGCAGCTGACTTATTTTCTGTGCTTGTAAAGGTTCACCGGTAGATTCAACGCCACTGGTTCGATCCTGAAAAAGAAGCAGGCTGGTGTCCTGGTGCTTCGTGCACCGTTTCCCAGCTACGGAAGCGGCAACATCAAAGCGGTCATCGCCAATACCACAGGTATCGACAAGTGGCATATTATGCGGCATACGTCGTCTTTGTTTTAATAATTAGCATTTCTTCTTTGCTGTTAGTGGTGGCGGTTAAGGTCCCGAAGCTCATCTCGGTGATGTATTGTTATTTGATTGAGCACATTGCTGCTGCTGCTGCTGCTGCTGCTGCTCAGCAATTGTATGTAATACACCACGAGTCTGCTGCTGACAATCTGATAAGGTCCACCGTTTGACGCCGCTCTGTTCGTGCCCAGCCGTCAGCCAGGCCGAGCTTAGCCACTCGTTCAACGACAGGAAGCTGTCCATCGAGCTGCTGACCTGCCACCTGACCTTCGGGGATCCGAAGGTCTCCCTGACCGACGTCCGGCTGCCGAGGGCCCTGCGCAAGCTGCACTTTGAGCGTCTCTTTAGGGTGGCACTGGGAAAGGTAAACGATTGTCCCGGGTATGCGCGTTGCTCGTATATAATCATTACCTATGCTACCAAAATCCAGCATCCGTTGCACTGAACCGTCATTGAACTGTGATCAACAGTGATTTGAACCGTTTGTGTTGAACTCGAACCAGCTTCTGGAGACGTTCTCTGCCCGTTTGTGCATGCCGTTACGTTACTCGCTGTACGTCCGTCTGTCTGCCGCCGTTCGCTGGTGACCGTGTCTGACTGCGGCGCCGGCAGACGATCGCTCGCCAGCTCCCGGCCGAAGTGGAGCCGCAGGTGGACAGGTCGCTGCACGACGTCATCACCTCCGTCCTCGACCGGGTGACGCTGGACGAGGTCGGCGCCAGCGACTTTGCCACCCTGGTAGCCGGTCCGCAGGCCTGGCTAGACGCGAAAGCCAGCGACAAAGAGTGAAGAGGTATCCCGGCATTCGGCAGAAAACTCGTGCAATTAGATCGAGAGGTTTGAGGGAAGGTCGGAAGAACGGTGCTTCCAGTGTCACGGGGGATAAATACTCGATGAGGTTCACTGATGTCTTCCGATAAAACATGTATCGTCAAGTGCCGTGACTACTCATGTGGCCTCTGTAAGGAGCTGCTCGAGAGCGCGGGACAGCCGAGATCTACAAAATATAGCGCAGATATTGTTCACTATATAAAAAACGCCGCATCTCAGTTTCTGCGCGCTGTTGTTCTCGCCTGAATTATCATTATTCGACTGATGCGACGCGGAAGGGGCGGTGTATTTCTTTGGGTAGGCCATGTTTCCCAAAGTGACGTATTTTTACACGCCGATGTGATCGCTAAGAATGTATCTAGATGCCACCTTAGCGGCTTACCTACTAAATGAAGCCTGCTTGCGCAAGTTGAAAGCGGCTGGAGGAGTGGTAGTCTCCACACCGTTGGGGATTCGTGTTCGACTTCTATATTTGAGTTCATGTGTCGATACCGATCAGTGTCACATCTCGGTACAGCTACTCAACTCAGAGATAGTGGATAGCTCATTTCGTGCCAGAGTGGATTATTTATTCAGCTTCTCATCTTCCCCTCTCACGGCTATTTTAACATCAGCAAACGACTACGAGTATCTTACTGTGGCTCGGTGCTTACTGGACGGATGATTGAACGAAAACTATGCTGCCAGTGTGTGATTGTTGCAGGTCTGTACAGTGAGCAGTGTGATAGCTGTTTACACTCGGATGGTCCGGTGCGAGTCATGGCTGAGATATTACGATGTGAAATGTGGATAGACATATGAGATAAAGTGTTAACTAAAAAGTTAGATCCTTTCGTGGCAAATGGGAGCGCGTGCCGGTCGACGCTTGATGTGTGGTGCAGTTGTTGAACATATAAACAAGTCACACTTCTTTCGTTACGCATTGAGCAATGTATCGTAGCGCACGTGTCCTTATTTGTGATTGATTTATTGTCCGTGACATGTCTCGTGACTCGTGCACACTCAACTTTGTCTTACTAGTTCTGGTGTCATGAAAATACAAAATTGTCAGCATTATGTATTACTATTTTTTACTAAGCATTAATTCATTCATTACTGTCTGTTCCTCATAACAATCTACAGTAACCCAGCATGGAAATCAAGCCATATAAAACTATGGGGAATGGCAACGCTCTAACGGACTCCCAATATCATCGCATTCCAGTGTTGACGAAAATAAAATGGCGAAAATAAATCAAACGCGGCATATGACACGACCCGCAGACGAGGGTATATCGGCTGCCCAGTATCGCAGTCGGTACGTGGCACAGCCGTCCACATCCACCGGTGGAGCACCCCATTACCGTCCTTAGCATACTTTCCCCCACATTTTACGTCCTGCCACATGTAATTACAAGGCAAACCTTTTTAGGACCGCCAATAGAGCCACGCCGTCAGACAAATGTGCATAATGCATAATCGCATATAATATAATGTGGCATTTCTGCCTTCTTCGAACTAAACGTTTTACTTTGTGTTGAGTCTTGTCAAAAATGTCGTGTCCAGCTCACCGTTTTATCTGCAAACAGATGTTTTGTTAATATGCAGCGCAGCGCACATCGTTTATAGCTTCAATGAAAAAGGTTTGCATCGTTGGTATAAATATCATATTTTAAGTCAGAATTTGTTATTTAGAAATAAGAAACATGTTTTACTTTTAAGGGCTAACACACAATTGATGCCCTAATCACTCTAATGGGACCCCTTTACGGCGCGCGACTGGCGGCCCTGCACATGAGTTGCGGAGGCGAGGACGGCCGAGCTGCCTGGGGCCGACGGCGAGCGCCCGGGGGCAGTAACTGACGACGGCCGCCGGCTGATTGGTCGGTGGAACAGACAGCGCCCGGGGCGGTCAGGTTACCCGAGCGCGTGTCTTTCCTTGTAAGGACGGACCGGACGGACCGAGACAGTCGCATACAGAACGTCGACTGTGTCTCCGCAGCGTGAGGTCTCTCTAAAGGCTGACGAATAATAATCTAACAAGCCGGCTAATACCATTTTACCAAAGTTCTCGTTTTCTTACAACACGAACACTGCTTCTACCTTAGAGATACAAGACGCATGCCTGTGTGCGGAAGATCTATGGATAAGCTACCAATGCAGCGGTTGTCCATAGGGGAAGAGCGGACTGGAAAGCACGAGTATAAGGTAAGACCGGCCTTGGACGGTGCCGACCCCTTAATCCTCGCCGGCACAGGGGGGAGGGGGGTTGATGCATCCCCCCTAAGGTTTTTCGCGAATAACTCGCGTAAAAAGCGGCCGAACGCGACGAAACTTTCAGTACCCTAGCATTAATCAATTTTACACCTACCCTGAAAATTTCATGAATCTTACCCCAATGACCTTTGACCTGTGACCTCTTTTCCATGACCATTTTTTGTTGACCTGTGGCCGCCGCCGAGGTCGGACGTGCGCGCGAGCTCTCGCCCACTACCCGCCGGGTCCCGTGTGCGTTTCGGTGCGGTGCGGCGGAGGCGAGTCGGGGCGCTGACAGAGCTGACGGCTGTGCTGTGATTGATCGGCGGCGGCGGCGGCTGCGCTGTTGTGAACCATGGACGAGGACAGTGTGAAGCGTGCACTGATCAGTGCAATCAAAGAAGGAGCTTTCCAGGATCTGTTCCGCACAGAAGTGAAGGAAGCTGTCACGGCAGCCGTTCGAGAAGCACTAGCTCAAAAGGACGCGGAGATCCAGGAACTAAAGGAAGAGCTAAAGGAGACACGAGAGCAACTGAATGATCTAGAACAGTATTCCAGACGTCTGTGTCTCAACATAACCGGGATCCCTGAGGGAGGTGCAAACGAGGAAACGAACCGACTGGTTATGGACACAGCCAAGCTGGCGGGTGTAAATATCTCTCCACACGACATAGACACGTCTCATCGCATCGGCGGGACTGCGAGGCCCGGTAAGGAACGCACAATAATCGTGCGTTTCACCTCATTCAAAGCGCGACAGGAGCTATATAACGCTCGCAGAGAGCTTAGAAAGCCACGCCCTGTACCAGGGTCCAGTGTCTCAGCCGAAACTGCTGGTAAAATTTTCCTGTCGGACAATTTAACTCGTGCAAACCAGCATTTGCTTTTCCAAGCCAGACAGCTGAAAAAAGCCAACAAGATCTCAGCAGCTTGGTCTGACGTCGGACGGCTGAAGATCCGCGTCTCCCAGAACGGACCGACCAGGATCATCAAGTCCATCGACGACCTGGAGAAACACGCTGGCGTTCAGCTGCGCGATGTGGCGGCCGGCGCATCGAAGTCGGCGGACGGCGCCGGGGCGGGAGTCGGGCGCCGGGTCACCCGTCAGCAGGCGGCCCAGGCTTCCCAGTGATCCGATGCGCCCTGTCGGTCTCCCTGCCCGACGGCCCTCGCGACGCCGCTGACGCCATCGGGCAGCTGATGCATCTCAGCGCGACGATTTCCGACTGAAGCCCTCTCTGGACGCAGCATTCCGGTGCCCCGTGAGAAAGGCGCCTATCGATAAGGTTAGTCGGACTCGGATCAGAGACTGTGTCATGTGTGTGAACTCTCGGGTTGGGTATTGGGCCGCAAAACCGGCCACTCTGCAGTCCGGGAGCGTGTGGAGCCTTGGCCGTGTCCGTGCCACAGTGCGACCGGTCGGTCTGGACTGTCTGTAGCCCCGAGCGCATCCCACGGACGCCGGAGGCGGCGGTCGGCTGGCCCGACTGTCTGGCTGACCGGGCGGGGCGACCCGGTGCACGTGAACTTTGGTGGCGTCTGACGCTGCTCATACTGCTGTCAGCCGGTGGGCTGGGCTGTGACACCGCCGCGCTCCTCGGTCGGACCGGCTGGCCGATGTGTCCTGCTGCCGAGGCACCGTGTCGGGTGTGGGCACGGGCGCTGCCTTGTTAGCCGGACTTGGGATGTGACGCGGGCGGGTGCTGGCGGCCGGGGTCGGTGGCTCGTGCTGCCTGCTGGGGATTGCGGTGGGGTCGGGCGGGGATCGGGGTGTGTGTAGTGGTATAGACGTGGGGTTTCACTCAATCATCAGTCGTAGCAATGTTGCCTGTCACTTCCGTTTATGTCGTATTATGTTTACGTTTCGTTTCCTTCGTTATCATGTTTTTTTTACGTCGTATTGTTGTGGTCATTTTGCTTGTATATGTTGTTGATTATTATTATAACGTTCTGTCATTACCATGTTTCAAGCATATAATTTGATAATCACTGCAGCGCGGCCCGCCGCCGCCGCCGACGTGCTTCGTACACCGGATCGAGTCCACCGGAGCTGTCGCCGCCCCCTCGGGCGCGCCCGCCCGCCGACTGAACACGCCGTTGACTTTACTGCCTCGTAAATTCGCAGCCGCCGTCCGCTCGTCGCCGCTAGACAGTTCCTATCCTATCCTATCCTATCTTATCCTATCCTGGCCACATCACCTGCGAACTAAATTATTATCGCTAGAAACAAGAAAATGTCACATAACTCTTAGCATCCATACAACACACAAACACTGGAAACGCCTAGGGGAGCACAAAAATTTGCAAAGCTTGCTTGTTATAGGTGGCGTAGAAACAAATCCTGGGCCGAATATCACACACACTCTAAATGTTTCACATATAAATATCAACAGTATAACAGCGACGCAAAAGTTAGACGAGCTTCACCAATTCATCAACGCTAACGACATTAAAATCATGGCCCTAACAGAAACAAAACTGGATTGTACTGTTGCAAGCAGTTTGTACGCAATTGAAGGATACCACGCTCCAATAACCAAACACAGAACCAGACATGGAGGGGGAGTCGCAGTCTATGTACACTCGTCTTTGCCTGTGCAGAGGTTAATAGATCTAGAAGTAGGAAACCATGAATGGCTTTGGGTCAAAGTAAAGACTAAAGCTTTCACTCTAATCATATGCTGTCTATATTTGCCACCAAACCAACCAGTTGAAAAATTAGACAATTTCATTGGAAATTTCTCGGAAGCCGTGCTACAGGCGCAAAGACATGCACCCACTGCCACATTAATTTTAGGAGATTTCAACGCAGGAAACGCATACTTAAGTGAACAATTGCAAATTCGCAGCAGTGGAGTTACACCATTTGACAATGCGCTAAAAGACGCCGCTGATGGATTATGTTTGCACGAACTAATAACAGAGCCAACGCGTTTTTCAAGAAACTCATGTAATTTAAGAGACTTGATATTCACGAATTGTACAGAAATAATCACTAAGAGCGGTACATTATCTCCATTCGCTAATTTGGATCATTGCCCAATATTCGCATCGTTAAACTTCATGTTGCCCTTACAAAATCAAGCGGACACCAGACTGATATGGGACTACACAAATATGGACACAACTCGTCTTACAAATCTTTTAATGGACACTGACTGGGATCGTTTACTTGACAGTGACGTAGACACAGCGACAACAAATTTTACGAAAACAATATACGACGCAGCTGTTGCCTCAATACCGACTAAACGCGTGAAAATACAGTCCAACAAAAAATCATGGGTCACTTCTGAGTTGAAGAGGAATATAAGGAAACGGGATAGACTATTCAAGAAAGCCAAGAACACAAATCTGGACTACCACTGGGACAGATGGAGATACCAGCGAAACAAAGTAACGCAGCTTAATAGACGGTTAAAAAAATGCATACATGCAGAACGAAGTTAAAAAACTACTGGTGTTGAAGCCCAATCCGTTAAAATATCACCAGACATTGCGTAAGCTAATGGGAAAATCCAGAACTGACATAATTCCACCGCTAGAAACACCAAATGGCGACATTATCACAACGGACCCCGAAAAAGCAACAATACTCAACAACCACTTTGCCGCCCAATCGACACTCAACATTTCAGACTCGCAGCAGCTTCCAGATATTACACCCGAACAAATAGCCACACCTAATCTCGAAAACATCCGGACAAGTGAAAGGGAGGTATTACAACTGTTGAACAGTCTTAACGTCAACAAATCAACTGGCCCAGATGAAATTCCTGTGAGATTATTGAAAATGACAGCTCTTTTAATTGCAGAACCTTTGTCTCGTTTATTTAACAAATCACTTGCAGAAGGCAAATTTCCATCAACATTCAAAGTTGCCCACATAACACCTATCTACAAGAATAAAGGATCCCCCTAAGATTTTACTTGTTATAGACCAATTAGTATCTTATCAGCTCTTTCAAAGGTATTCGAAAAAACAGTTTACAGAAAAATGTATTCTCACTTTATAGAAAACTCACTCCTCACGGAAAAACAAAGTGGTTATAGAGAAAATCACAGCACTGAACAACAACTTCTTTATCTAACAAACAACATGTATAAATCGTTAGACACAGGAAAACAATTCACAGCTATCTTTTTGGACATTGCAAAGTACTTTGACAAAATTTGGCATAAAGGCTTGTTATTCAAATGCGAACATGATTTTGGAATAACTGGAAAACTTTTAGAATTTTTGGAGTCATATCTCAAAAACCGTATTCAAATGGTACGCATAAACAACACACTGTCAGAACCACAGACCATAAATGCAGGATGCCCGCAGGGCTCCGTCCTCGGACCACTTTTAGCTCTTATCTATCTTGACGGCCTTTCAAAGCAGACACAGCACAATATTTTATTTTTCGCTGACGACACATCACTTTATGCCTCACACTCAGAAACTGACTTACGCGAAACAGAACAATCGCTCCAAAAAGACCTGGACTCTATTTTCGAATACGGAAGAAATTGGGCTATCACTTTCAACGCCGACAAAACAGTGCAACAAACATTCACTCACAGACAACATTCCAAAATGCCACCGACTCTTTCGTTCGGAGGGAAAGCAATACCACTAGCAAAATCACACAAACATCTCGGTTTAATTTTCTCTGACGATCTTCGCTTTCATTGTCATATTAACGAAATATGCAAAAAAGTTAACATATCCCTCAGTCCATTGTATCCTATTGCACAACATTTGCCAAGACCCATCCTTCACCAAATATATACAACCTATGTAAGACCACACTTTGACTATTGTGACACTGTTTACGACGGACATATCACAGTACAGGACACGACACGACTGGAGACATTGCAAAACAGAGCGGCTAGACTGACGACAGGAGCACTCTTTAGAACACCCTCCGACAAATTACGACTCGAGACAGGATGGGACAGACTAACGACAAGAAGACGCATTCATAGATTGTCACTATATCACAAACTCGTTAAATCGAAACCAATTTTACCGAAGTACATACAAGAACTTATAACAAACACAAGGGTGACAGACACACAGTTGGTTTTAAGAAATGCCCATGACCACACGATCCAACGTCCGAAAACATCATCATATCAACGATCATTCTTTATCACCACAAGCAAAGAGTACAACGAACTACCGGCAACATTTAAATCCTTATCCATAGTAGAATTCAAAAAACACATTGTACACCATATTGGCTCCCCCCAGCCACCAAAATACTACTCGTTTGGGTCAAAGACAGGCAACATCCTACATTCGCGACTAAGAAATGGAATGTCCGATTTAAATTCACAACAATTTAACATTCAAAAACAAGATTCTCCGGCATGCCCTTGTGGTCACAGCATAGAAAGCGTTCGTCATTTCATCACAGCATGTCCATTGTTTTTACCTCAAAGACGCATCCTTTACCAAAAAGTATCGCAAATACTCCATACTAACTTTCATGAATACCAAACTAATAAAAAATTGGAAATCCTTCTTCATGGCACCAACCTAAATAGTGGCGACGGCCGGGCGGTGGCTCAACACTTCCAAACGTTCTTACTTAATTCTGGGCGCTTTACAATCCCAACACTCTGACTACTTAATTACGAGGCGGGATGGGCGTGTCTCGGTGGGGTGGCGTCGGCAACGGGGCTCTCTGGACAACCTGTAATGCGCGACGCGTTCGGCTTGGTGGCGGCGACCGGCGATTTAGTTTGTTTGAATCCATTTTAAGTTCTTGTATATGTGTGTATGTGTTTATTTGCTTGTATGTTCTTTAACAGAGCTGGTGCCTCGAATTAAGCACTTTCGAGTGCTTTTGCACCAGTTCTTACTTATCTTGATTTTGTGTATTCTTTTGTTTCTTAATAAACGTGATGATGATGATGATGATGATGACCATGTTTGGCCGAAATCGCGATTCGGCGTATGTCGGCTCGCATTAGCCGCGCGTTTGCAAGCTTTTCGTGGTTTCAAACGTTCACACATGTGATTTGATGTTGCTCCTATGCAGTAGGGTGGGTGTCAAGGTCACCTGAAGGTCAGGTCAGGTCATTGACCTTTGGTGACCTCGGTTCACTTTTCGAGTTTTACATGTTTCTAGGCTAGTTTTTGGAGCTGAATTCCAATTTAGCAATCATTTGAACATTTAAGAAATAGTTTTGGTGCCTTCGTAACATGTTACGAAGCTGTCAGAGGCGGATGACAGGTACTACGAATACCCGTCACGACCCCTACCGGTTGACCTGACCTGACCTGACCTGACCTGACCCGATCTGGTCTAAACGCTTAACGACATCATCTGTGATAAAAACTAACACGACATTCATGATCAGCACCCCGGAAAACCCCTTAGCAGCCACGCTTTACGACTTTCTAAGGTCCCGATATTCCCGATTTTTGGGTCATTGACCTGACCTGGAAGGTCAACCGATGACTTAGGACCCTAAAATTGGGTATCATTGGCTTCCTCTCGTGACGGGCAGCACGCTCGTTTTTTTCGCGAAGCTCTAGCTCTATCAGGGGCCAAACGCGAGGGGGGTCGTACCCCCCCCCCCCCCCCCGACCCTTGTGCCGTCGAAGGACTCAAAATGGCCTGTGCCGGCGAGGGTTAAGCCCTTTAGTATTTTACTTTTCCTCATAACTTCTCTCTGAGAATCCCCGGGCGATATGAGCTATGGCCTATGTCCCGGATGTGAATATCGGGATCAATATAATTAATTCATCCAAGGAGGGCCTTTGGCCAGCTCAACCATTGGGCCCTTTCGGGTGTGGAAAGTCATGGTCAACGATTTATGCACAGTACATACACACGCCCCGTGTGGAGGGCACACAATCCCCGTGCTACGTATAAACGCCACCGGACCGGGGTCACGGGTCATGGATCCATAAAGTCGCTTGCTGCATGCCCTGATGGCGCTTGTCATGCAACATGCTTGCCAATCATGCTCGCTGTGCTTAAGCAACTTCAGTAAATGCCTACCTTTCTTCTTCGCTGTTTTTGCAGCCGGACCGGTTTCCTCAGGCTGAAACCACAGAAGGAAAAGTTACGAAACGTCACGACACTTCCCTTTAAAATACAAATATCGCAGCAGATGATAACTCGGTTATAAGTGGTTATAGACTATAGTTCCATTTCGTGGTGGATGCCGACATAATAACTTGGTCTTCAAATGAAAAAAAGATAAAAAAACATGTCAATTTCTCTTTACTTTCGTACTGCCGCGCGATACCACTCAGTTATATAACTCGACATGCATTGAACCCGACATGATATCCAGTGATGCATCGATATGATAATAGATTTTGCTGGCATATCTATATGCTGTTTCATATCTATGGTGTTCCTTGGACAGGCGACATGACATGAAGTCTACAAATATATTTAGGAAGCAATTACCTACATATAATCAAGTGGGCCGGTTTCGTTTTTAAAGAACTTCTGCGCTTAAAAAACGGATCGACATGATTATCTACATGATATCTACATGATTATTCACCTACTCGCCAATTTCAAACGGCTCTCTACACTTGCCACGCATGGCGGCGCTCGTGGCGGATAATCCCTTTATAAGACAAATGGCAACAGCTGTACCATCCATAAATAATGGGAGACAAGCATCACCCTCGTGCAGTCACATTTCTTTTTGCTTGATTTCTACCAATCATTTTTGCTACTTTGTTAAAAAATCGAAGTGCGGGAAACATCATACCTGCAGGCCGCAGGGTCGAACATGCACTGCAGCCGGCCCTCTGACATACCTGCTGGTGTCGCTGCTGGGCGGCAGGACTGCTGAAGGCAGCCACCGTCGGACCGGGAGCTGTCGAGGGCCCGTTGCGCGGCGAGGAGGAGGTGACGGGCGCTGAAGCCGAACCGGCCGGAGAGAGCAGGGGCGAAGAAGGTGACGGTAGCGTCAGCTTGGGCAGGGAGACAGCCCGGGGAGACACGCCCAGGAAGATACCGGCGCTGGCAGCGCTGAAACACGCGGCAAAGCCGAGATATCACGACGGTGAACACGATCAGTACTAAAGGAGAAGTGAAAGCTCCTACAATTGTACAATTGTATTCGCACAATTGTACAATTGTACAATTGTACATACAATTATATTCGTTCTACAAAGAACGAATACAAGCAGCGCCGCGAAAATATGTAAACGAAAATATGTCGAGGGCGCGCCTGTTGATGCGGCGCCTTTCAGGTGACCTTGGCCTGGGCCGGTCACGTGGTGCTCGGGTCGGCCGCGAGCCGGGCGGCCGGAGTCAGTGGTTTTCGGAATACAGTGACGGCCGGATGCGCTGTGTGTCCGACTGCGACGGGTCCGGTCAGCTGCCGCGACATGGTGGCAGCGGTGGGATCGGTCTTGTTAGTCGGTGTGGCCGCTTTCTGTGACTATTAGACAGTGTCTCGGTGATATTCGGCCATGGGGAACCCGGACGAAGCAGCCGACGCTGGCAGCCAGCCGGTGATGCGAGTGGCACTTGGGGATTTTCCGCTGTTTGACGGCTCAACGTCTCTGGAGTCGTTTCTTCAACAGTGTGAGCGCTTATCTCACTTGGGTGGTATTCCGGTGTCGCAGCTGCCGAGTATAATCGCAGCCAGATGCCGCGGACTGGCACAGCGAGTCGTCGAGGGCGCAGCCGCTGGGGCAGAGGTGACGACAGCCCTTCGTCACGCCTTTTCTACTACCTCTACAGCGGCCGCTGCCACGCAGCTGAGCGGCCTCAAGAAGGGCAGCATGTCGGCCCTCGAGTATTCTCTGGAAGTGAAGAGAATGATACGGCTGGCATGTCCCGAGTTTTTCGACGCGACAGGGAAAGTGAAAAACTGTTGTGGCACCAGTTATCAGGCGGCTCTCTACCGACATCTGCTGGTGGGCCTCAGTGACCAGGAGAAGCTCCTCCTCTCTCGCCAGGGTGTTGCGACGTTTCAGGCAGCTGTCGACGAGTTGTTGCGAGAGGAAGCTCTTCAGGACGGCGGTGTTAGGGCCGAGGGGCCCAGAGTTCACTGGGCCGAGTGTGATGCTGTGGACGCGGCCGACGACGGCCGGCCGGAGCCGCCTCGAGCCCGGGAGGATCGGCGTCAAAGCGTGGACCGGGTGACGACTTCTCGTCGCTACAACGTGCCTCCGGGGCGCGACGGATGTGGATTCCGACGACGATCACCAGGCCCGCCGCTGGGTCGAGGTGGCCGGTCTCCCGGCCGCTCCCCGGGGCGGCGGCCCTTTGGTGACGAGTGGCGGAGCCGCGGTGACTCACGTGGCCGGTCACCGGGCGGCGGCGCTTCGGGCGCCCCGTCACCGCGATCTTCGCCGGGCCGGCGGGCCGGGGGCCGGTCCTCGGTCGACGGGCGGGATTCGTCCTCACCAGAGGACGAACAGCACCAGCGCAGACGTCCGCCGCAATGCTATGCGTGCAGAGGCTTCGGGCATCTCAAACGCGACTGCCCAAACGTGCGCCGGGGCGGACGGTGGTAAACCTTCCTATCACCAAAGTGAACATCAACGGTTTCGCGGTGAGTGATTGCCTTCTAGACACCGGGGCGACAGAAAATCTCATTGACAGTAGAGTTTTCAGTGTCCTCGCCCCTAACGCGAAACTGGAGCCGCCCGTCCCATTAGTGTCTGCTTCTGGACACAGTCTGAACACGCTGGGAACCTGTCGTCTCAGTGTAGACGTGCTGGGGAATGGTGAAACATTGACAGGTGTTGATTTTGTTGTTGTGCACAACCTGACCCATGATGTTGTGCTCGGGTGGCGGTTTTTGTCTGATAACCATGTTGTTCTTAATTGTTCCCCTTCTCAAAGTGCTAAGATTAAGTTAAGGCTGAAAAAGGCTGTCAATGTTCCCCCTCGTTCAGCGGTGTGCCTAGAGGTTAAGATAGATCGGAAGTTGTCGGATGCGGAATATCTTTTCGTTGGACAGCGGTCCAGTAACGTAGAAGTGGCTGATGCTTTGTTGAAACCCCTCTCCGACAACGTGATTCCAATATACATTAGGAATCGCACTAATCAGATGATTACAATGCACAGGCGGAGTGTGATCGGGTATGCAGAAGCAGTCGCAGATGTTGATATGTGTGAGGGTGACGCCGCTGCCGCTCCTGATGGCTGCGAGCCTGCCGATGAGCCCAACATTGAGGTGAACTCGGTTTCGGCGGATGATGGGCGGTTTGTTGGCAAGGACACAGATGAAATTTTGTCGGAATTTGTGATAGGTGACCCGATAACAGGCGCACAAAGGGACAAACTCGCCGCCTTACTAGCTACATTCCCGGAGGTATTTTCTCGCGGCTATGCTGACATTGGCAAGTTTAGGGGTGATGACGTAAATTTAGAATTACAGCCAGGAACAAGCCCTCAATTTGTCAAGCCCTATCCTATTCCTTGGTCTCGGGAGGAGCAGTTAAAATCTCAGCTTGATGAATTACAGTCCTGCGGGGTGTTAGAGGAAGGTGAGCCGGCGGACTGGAACAGTCCTATTTTATTGATTCCAAAGGGTTCGAACGAATATCGCATTGTACAGGATTTAAGGGCGCTGAATAAATGCTTGCTACCAAAGCGATTTGTTTTTCCTGAAATAGATGATTTCGTCTTTTCTCTGGGAGGTTGGAAAGTGGCTTCATCACTAGATTTGCGCCACGCCTTTTGGTGTCTTCAGTTGTCACACGAGTCGAGCAAGATTTGCGCATTCCACGCACTCGGTAAGACGTACTACCCTCGGAGAATGCCCATGGGGTGTATGCAGTCTTCGTACTTCTTGCACCTTGCAATGCGAAAAGTGTTGGGGGACATTGAAGGATGTTACCTTTACAGTGACGATATCCTATTGGTGTCTGAGACCGTAGAAGACCATTTTAAGTTACTTCATACTGTGTTTGAGCGGCTACAGTCAGCAGGATTGAAAGTAGCGCCTGAGAAATGCAAATTATTTCAGACATCTCTTAAGTATCTGGGCCATTTGATTACCCCAGATGGGATCGGGATGGATCCGGAAAGGATTCGCGTGATCCGGGACATGCCGCGCCCCGAATCGTTAAGAGAAGCGAAGAGAATTTTTGGTTTATTTTCTTGGTTTAGAAAATATGTCCCCTCGTTTTCAAGTATAGCCGAGCCGCTGGTAAAATTATGCAACGCCGAGAATTATTATTGGGATGATGAATTAACTCGGTGTTTTGATAATCTAAAAGCAGAGCTGTGCGGAAATAGAATATTGAGCTATCCAAAGAGGGGCTACCCTTTTCTCCTATATACGGACTCTTCGTCCACTGGGTCTGGTCAAATGCTCGCACAGATTTTCCCTGATGGCAGAGAGCGGGTGATCGCTTTCAGTGGAAACAGGTATAGCCGGGCTCAACGGAAGTGGACCATTTTCGAGTTGGAACTTTTCTCTTTTATTCAAGGGGTTAAAAAGTGGTACAAGTATCTAGCCGACGCGGAGTTTAAGTGGCTTTGTGATTGTAAAAGCGCCCTACAAATTTTGAAAAACAAGGATTGCGTGAACCCGAGGTTGATTCGATGGAGAGCATTTTTGAGTCAATTTCACTTCGAAACCGAGCATAGGCCTGCATCGCAAATGCAACATGTGGACGCAATTTCGCGTTTTCATGAGCGGACTGACGGGAAAATGTCTGTGTCAGATGAGGATGTGTCAGACGAGGACTCGGTTCACTCCCCCCCGGAGGGAGTTGACAAGGGCGGTGCATCAAGGCAGCCGCTGAGCCGGCCGGAGCGCGGCTGTGGCGCCTCCGGCGGCGATAGACGGGCGTCTGGGCGCGGCAGCGCGGCGGGTCCGGCTGCCGCGGATGGTGCCGCCACAGAGAGCGGTGTTTCAGGCCGGTGCGGGCCGACAGCACCGGATCCTCAGCCGGCGAGGGAAGAGGCGTCTGTGGGCGACGGAGGTGCTGGTTTTGCAACTCCTGTTGAAGCAGATCGTCGTGGCAAAGCCTACGAGGATTCAGAATCAGGGGAAATTAACCTGATTTCTGAAGATTTTCTATCGCAGTTGTCGCTTACCAGAGAATCGCTGATTTGGTACCAAAAACATGATAGGGACTGCAGATCCATCGCTCACCGTCTGCGGCATGGTAAATGGCCTCGATCCACTCCCGTGGCGCTTAGACGGGAATGTATAGCGGAATTCTCGCTGCAGAACGGGGTGCTTGTCAGATATCAGCGCGAGTTTGAGACGACGCCTGTGATCGTGTGGCCGGCGGCCAAACGGTTCGAGCTTCTGCGCTGTCATCACGACGTGAGCACAGCGGCGCACTGCGGTGCGGGTAAGATGTGCGAGGTACTTCGCCGCCGGGTGTGGCTGCCAGGTATGAAACGTCTTTGTGAGGAATACGTCCGTAGCTGTAGACGCTGCAGCAAGAAAAAGGACACACGCCCTCAAAATCCGCCTTTGATACCACAGGGGGCTGATTGCCCAAATGCGGTCCTAGTCATAGATATCGTTTCTATGCCTCGTAGTACCATTTCATCAAAATGTCAGTTGCTTACTTGTATTGACAAATTTTCAGGATTTGTTAGTGCATACCCGTTAGAAACGGGTTCGGCGGACTGTGTAGCTGATGCACTAGCTCATCACTTTCTGACGTTTGGTCCGCCTGAGCGTACGGAATGCGATGCTGGTTCGAACCTTTTGAAAAATAACAGGGTTAAAGAAATGTGTACCTTCTTTGGGGTTCAGACCAGAGTCAGTGTGGGCTATTGCCATCAGGCAGTGGGCAAAATTGAACGGCGACATTTAGACATTAAACGGCGTCTCAGAGCACTGTCGTCTTCCAATGGGGCCGATTGGGAGCTGCTCCTTCCGGGAATCCTGTTTTCGTTGAACAATGAGCCATGCCGGACACACGGATTCAGCCCATTTTTCTTGTACTTTTTACGATACCCTCATAGCCCTATTTCTGATTTAGCTACTCGTCCAGTGCGAAAGTACTCAGATGATTTCATTTCTGAAAGGTTGCGGTTATTATCGGAGGTATTCCAGCGAGCTCGGGAGCGGCAGTCTGAGCGAATGTGTGAATACAAACATTATTATGACCGGCGGCACCGAGCTAAGGATGTAGAATATCGACCTGGTGACCGCGTGTTGTGTAAAAATTTTGGAGCTAGGTCAAAGATGGATGATCCTTGGCTGGGACCTTATGTTGTAGTGCAACGTGTGGGCCGTCGCCATGTAGACGTACAGGATGATCGGGGTCGCATTCGTCGTACGCACATGCGAAATATGAAGCGTGTGTTTGAGTGTCCTGTGTGAAACCGGAAACGTCGAAAACAGGGTGTTTATGTGCGCCAACTGTTCTGTTGTACTTATGTGTGACTGCATCATATTTTGTTGTGCTGTGTAGAAAACGTTTTCGTTTTTTTTTTTTGAAAAGGGGGGAAATGTCGAGGGCGCGCCTGTTGATGCGGCGCCTTTCAGGTGACCTTGGCCTGGGCCGGTCACGTGGTGCTCGGGTCGGCCGCGAGCCGGGCGGCCGGAGTCAGTGGTTTTCGGAATACAGTGACGGCCGGATGCGCTGTGTGTCCGACTGCGACGGGTCCGGTCAGCTGCCGCGACAGATGTAGCTACGCTACGGTCAATGACTATGGCAAATCTATAACACTGAAACTCCCTCGAAGAGTTAAGTGTATGCCATGAAATGTGGAAAAACTGGCGACGAATCAGTCCCACCAGACGACAGGGTCCTACCTCACCTGGGAGTCTCTGCACAGTTCCCCTGCTCCTGATCTGAGCGGGTCGCCGTGCCCGTTGCCAAGCTCAATTTGGAGGAGGTCGTGGTCAGCGTCTTCTTTTTACCGACACCACCGAATGAAAACAGCTGCCTGCAACATCAGTATTTAATCACATGGAGTCATGGACAGTGCTCATAACGAGCGAGTACGGAGATTTAAGCACACTCCTCTATCACGGCGGAAAATCTTAGATTTAGTTACCCAGCCGATTTTTGGGGGGCATTGATAATATAGCAATCAGCGTATTCGGATCCCACTGTCTAGTTGAGCGTATACATTTTTAGTCGACCTAGGGCTAAAACTTTCCCGACTTATGGGAGTAGGACGTGGAATGCAAAACTGAAACCAATGCAAACTGACCGTTTCTTTGACGAGGGGTTGACGGCGTTGGTGAGCAGGTTGCCGTAGTGTTCGGACCGCAGGAAGCGCGGGTAGCAATCTTTCTTCAGTAGCAGCTCGTAGACGTGGTCGGCAGCCTGGTCGAACGTGAAGCGGCTCGGGTTCTTCATCAGCTTCTGGGTCTTCTCCATGGTTCTGCCGTCTATGTTGATCTCACACGGTGCACCGGGACGTAAAAACTCGCTGGAACACACATACATTTTGTGTTTAACTTCTATTGTGACTGATCTAGTCAAGTGCAATAACCGATAATCTCTAGATCCATAAATGCAGTAATCCCACGCTTTATCTAATCGGTGATCTTTGGGTTTAAATACGGTATTCCTATTACATCATCCACTGAGATAGGGATAACGGATTCAAAGCACTTTGATCGGTTTGACGGTGATGCATACAGATGTGGAAGCACCGGTTTTTGTACACGAGCTAACGGGACTCACTGCGTTAGATGGATTTATTGGTATCTTACGAGTAAATGGCGCTGACTCGGCTCTCCACGTCACTGAGAGCCGCCTTCCTCAGCTGGTGGACGGCCGTCCAGAATCGGATGTTCTCGTGACTGTGCTCCTTCTGCATACATTTGGTGATCTCGTGAAGGCCAGTCGGGTCGGCAGCCAGCTCATCCAGACTAATGGCCCAGCGGCGCACGCGCCACTCCGTCGGGCACTCCACCCTGTCAAAACACAGCCGAAACACCGGAATCGCTCACCATAGTGACACCGTAAGTATTTATCGCAACCGTGTGCACGGCAACGGGCAATATATTGTGCTGGCCATGGCTTGATTGACCCGCTCGTTATCTTTTGAGTTGTGTGCACTTCCTGTATCGGCATGTGAGCACGAGCGAATCTTAATTAGACGAGCTCTACAGTGCACACCACAGATGTAGGACTATTTCGAAGATAACTGGTAAATGAAATTATGACGAGCTGATCAGAAACCTTACGAGATGTCTGTACTTATTAGAGACTTGGTGGATGGCTCGGATTAAATTTCAAGCATATTAGCGTCACTAATTTATTCAACGAATAAGTAGCGAGTATTGCGAATAGCTAGCAAAAAAAAAAGTTATATAGCACACATACTCGAAACAGGGTACAGTAAGATGAGAGCCTCTCCATGGAAGCATTCATTAACGCCTTTGATATGATGTGCACTGTGTGGGATGCAGGTGAGAAAGCAGAGCGTTTGGACACTGCGCTCACTCACTCACAGGGGCTGGCCAAGCTCCATGAACGTGGGGTCGTCGGTGAGCCACGGGTTGCTGGGCAGCACGGGTGACAGCAGCGGGTCAAACTCCAGGTAGGTCTCGTAGCTGGCCACCAGACACTCGGCGGCCTGGGACACCTTGGAGCGCGCCCGCATCAAACAGCCACGGAGATGCCGTAGCTGAAATGCAAATAAATGTTAAATTGATGATAAAAAGTTGCTGATATGTCGTATCAAAAGCATAATGATAGAAAGAAGTCGGCCAGCGTTGAGTATACATAGTACATACGGTATCCGTATGCCAAACAATACAGGAACATATAGATAATGCGATGACATGAATGCGAGAGAGAAGATGAAACTATTGTGCTGAGTCGATGCGTATCATTTGAGTTTTCCGAGCACAAATGCCAATCTCGGTATGCTAACCCTACTCGACAGACTAGTGACCGGATCTGACCTCCGCAGTGAGGCTGGCCCGGCTGTTCCGTTCGGTGCCGGTAGCGGCCGCCCTGCCCGGCTGCACGGGCCGGCACTCCAGGCTGCTGGTGAACCCCGGCGGCGGCATGTACACCCGCCAGTAGGCACGCTCCTGGCTGTCCGCCACCAGCTTGTCGCCTCTGGAGCGCTCCTTCGCAGCCTTCAGCTGTGGGTCGTGGAACTGCTGTCAGCGCACGGTCACCAATACGCTCCTTAGTGGCCGTTTGCTGTCGGTAGGGTGTGGAACTGCCACGCCGTCGTGCAGAAGCAGAGGTTCACGTCTAAGGACAATCCTCGGCGCCCATTAGCAGTCGGCAATAAGCAAATGACTGTCAATTCCGCTTTCACAGTGCTAATACCCAAACTCAGGATGTCAGACCGTATGATGATTTGCCTGTTTGAGCGGGTAAATCTACCCATCATATAGCAAAACAACGGCATTACCTGGTGGTTCGATGGTTGGATATTTAGGTATTCAGATGTTACAGCTTACGCATAGGTATTACGCACCCAAAATACAAAAGCAAATGGGAAGACTTGACGTGGATCTAAAGGAAACAGTCCAATGGCCGTTGTGTCTAATGAACTGCATTTCCATTAATCTGAGTCGGTAATAAGCTAATAAAGTATCGTTCGTTCCACCCACGTTTAAAAACGCCACCTAGTTAAATTAGAAGTAAGTACGCACTCACCTGTTCTTCCGCTTGCATAACAATAAATTCCCATTTTGACGAGAGCGTTTTCTTCAGCTGGTCGTATGCTTCCTGAAATCAGAATTACCCTAAGTAAGGAAATTCACAGAAACTAAGCAGTTGTTAGCGAGTAGTCCTAACTAACAGGTTATTGAATTTCTTATCACTTTTTTAACGTGGACACATTTATTTGGGCACGTAGGTACAATATGGTACATAATGAGTATACACGATACAAAACCAGAGCCATGAACGTAACAGCTCCCGGGAGGGATCGAAAAACTTAGATGACCTAAAACGATCTCAGTGGAGTCAAATACGAGTATAACATGCGAGCGAGCGCAGCGCTATCTACAATTAATTATGTCGCATAATACCTACAACTTCATCTATAATATGTATATAATGAATCTCTCAGCAAGTAATAGCTTATTTACCATTTCATATTCCTCCAGCGCGTCTTTTTGTTTTCCTCTGATCATTTTCTTCTGGATGTAGATGGCATAGTCTGTGGGGTCGGGCACGTGATTCTGCGACGGCCAGTAGTAGGGAGTCTGCAACGCGAATCATGTGGCGGTTATCGATAGGTATGGATCGTGAGGCGAAGCGTATTCAAGTGAGAGAAAGCATTTTTATTTGCGTGCATTAGCATGAATAACTAGCCTATGTTTTGCAACCGAACAACCACATTACCTACCAACCATGGCTTAAAAATCAATTGCTTAATTAAATAAATCGATCAACTCACAATGAAGATAATAAACAAAAATAGGCTTATGCAGCATCACAAACACCGCAATTTTTTTCCAAATGTCTCAAAGTTATTTTTACCCCAATAATTTATCTCAAGCATCGGTCACAGCCTCCTTCCTATTACGAGTCAGCTAAGTGATAAGCGATCGGTCAGTGTCCTTGCGCATGGACCATCTCACCTGAAACCTGTACAGGGACGAATCGTCCCTGACCTGGAGAGTCTTGCCCTCACCAACGGGGAAGATATATCCGTGCTGGCAGAGCAGCGAGGCCAGATGCAGGGCCTCCGCTGCGCAGAGCAGGTGGGGATAGAAGAGAGAGAGAGAGAGAGAGAGAGAGAGAGAGAGAGAGAGAGAGAGAGAGAGAGAGAGAGAGAGAGAGAGAGAGAGAGAGAGAGAGAGAGAGAGAGAGAAGAAAAGCGTACCGGCCTCTGCCTTTTATGTAATATAGCGAGCACCGCTGCACCATATTTATCTACTGCATGCATATGATGACCCTGCAAGTGACTTATTTTCAACGGCCTCGCACTACAGCTACGAAGACAGGGTCCGCAAACGGCAAATGCTTCTACATAGTTAGTTCCGCTCAAAACCCAGAGTTAAATAATGAATCAAAAACTAAGGCCAAATTTTTGAATAGAATATACTAGGGTTACCCGCGTGCTCCGCAACGCGAAGGGGGGATTTTTTGACCCGTGGGTATTGGGTTGGTCTGTGTCGATTTGGTTGGTAGATATCCATTTCGTTCGATTGCTTTTTGACGGCCATGCATTTCGTAAGAAAACAAAAAGATACATCGCATCGAGGTGCCCGTGTCGTATTATCATGCGTTCTACTTTAGAATGATTCTAAAACTGGCGTGAAGTCTTTTGAGGGCCATCGATGAATTTCGCTAAAAATGACAATGTAATGGTTTGGAACATTTACATTTTTAAGGATACTGTTGCTAATCATGCAAAAATGAAGAGTGAATATTGGACAGCATTGAATGCTCTATCCAATGGTACCATATTCAATTGCCAAAGGTATCAGGTTATGCAGCAAAACCCGTGTAATTAATAAAGTTGCACATCATTGTCAAACACCATTTTCTCCTGTGATTTGCACCACCTTGATTTGGATCAATCAGCTTTTCACAATTTTTATATGAGAGGCGGTACATTTCTCTTGCAAACAGGCGTTGTTTCAACTCGCTCCATGTAACGGTCACCTAAAAATAAAATAAATTCCAAAATCCGTCAAAAACCGCAATTTTTTCAATAAAAGTATCCTCATGGGTGCACGTGGCGCGTGCATCCCCTGCACCGCACACCATTCAATAGCCCGTTCGATTCTCTACACGATGCTGTTTTCCCCGTACCGATCGGGCCCACGGTTACCGAGATATTGTACGGGGATCGGACCCGTGTCGGGCAAATTTAGCCATTTTCGCCCGATTTTGCAAGCCGATTTATACATGTAAAGTCTATGACGCGAATTTGCACTTTTTGGGCACGCGCCACGCGCTCCCTATAAATCCGATCGAGCTGAGACCCCTCAAAGGCACGTCGCGCATCCTTGATCTATAAGTTGTGCAAATTTCACCGGGCTAGGTGCAACGGTCTGGCCTGTAGTCCACGCAAAGCACCACCAAGTCGGGACCTCGGTAACGGACAGACGCACCCTCCTCAAATAGTAATATATCAAATAGTAATATCATAGCAAGCAAGCGGCTGCGCCACTTGCTTTGCTGCGTGGTAGGACAAAATTGCGGCACCGGCCAATTTGCTTTCGAATGGTGTTCGATTCAAATCGATGTGTCGTCTAGAAGCATAGATATGGACGGAAATGTGAAGAGAATAAAAAAAAACTGTTCTGAGGGCTTCGTTGGATGAAAGTGGGGTGATACGGGGTCAAGACGGGTCAAAGGGGTCAGCCCCGGTCACTTTGGGTTAGGCCAGGTCACCTAGGTCACCTCTCGTCCGATGGGATCAGCCCGGGCCACTGTTTAACTTTTGCCTCCACCACTACCCCTACCACTACCCCTACCACTACCCCTACCACTACCCCTACCCTTACCCCTACCACTACCCCTACCACTACCCCTACCACTACCCCTAACCCTACCCCTACCCCTAACACTACATCTACCACTACCACTACCCCTACCACTACTACTACCCATACTCCTACCTCTACCACTACCCCTACTACTACCCCTACCACTATCCCTACTACTACCCCTACCACTACCCCTACCCCTACTACTACCCCTACCACTACACCTACCCCTACCACTACTCCTACCACTACTCCTACCACTACCACTACCCTACCCCTACCCCTACTACTACTACTACCCCTACCCCTACCCCTACCACTACCCCTACCCCTACCACTACCACTACCTACCACTGGGTCATGTCAGCTCACATAATAATTGGATCCATTTAACTTTTTTTAAATCAGACTTTAAATTAAAAGTGCTTCTAGCCCTGCTGCTATTCGTGCCATTCCATTAGCCTTAGTCGAGTTTGTCGGAAATGGCGCCTTGTGACAAAAGTGGCGCATTGCGGCAAACGCGGCGCATTTTTACCCGGTGGATGAGCATGCATCTTTGCACCAAATTGCACCCACATCGGACCATATTTGACAAAACTGTGCGATTCGGGGCAAAAATGACGCCCTGTGACCAATGTGACGCCTTGCGGCAAACGCGGTGCATTTTTATACTTGTATCATCAACTGTTCCCATTGAATGAAAATCACCACATTCTCTCGCCACTTTTCATTCAAATTAATAACTTGCCGATCCGCCAATGCGAGGCACCCGCCGCCGATCGGCATGCATTCAGCTCACAAAGTTTGTCGACCCCGGCTCTCAATGAAGATCTACGAACCGATCAAAATTTCATTGGCGTTCTTCCAGCGCGCGCCACGTGCCAACCGTGCACCCCAGCGAGTCGGAACCTGGAAAAGGCGCTGACCCGCTCTGTCACCTATAAGGTGTGCAAATTTCAACTTCCTACGACGTACCGTCTGCCCTGTAGGCGAGGTTAATTGAACCCACTACACGATGCGCGGACACACAGACTCACAGACAGACGGATTCTGTTGGAATAGTAATATAGACAAGCGGCTGCGCCACTTGCTTTGCTGCGTGGTAGGAAAAAATTGCAGTACCAGCCAATTTGCTTTCGAATGGTGTTTGAGTCATGTCGATGTGTCGTCTAGAAGCATAGATATGGACGGAAATGTGAAGAGAATTTAAAAAGAGCTGTTCTGAGGGCGTTGTTGGATGAAATTTGGGTGATACGGGGTCAAGACGGGTCAAAGGGGTCAGCCCCGGTCACTTTGGGTCAGGCCAGGTCACATAGGTCACCTCTCGTCCGCTGGGATCAGCCCGGGCCACTGTTCTGCTTTTGCCTCCACCACTACCCCTACCCCTATCACTACCCCTACCACTACCCCTACCACTACCCCTACCCCTACCACTACATCTACCCCTACCCCTACCACTACTACTACCCATACTCCTACCCCTACCACTACCACTACCACTACCCCTACAACTACCCCTACCACTACCCCTACTACTACCCCTACTACTACCCCTACCCCTACTAATACTCCTACCACTACCCCTACCCCTACCACTACCACTACCCCTACCACTACCCCTACCCCTACCCCTACCAACACCGCTGGGTCATATCAGGTCACAGAATAATTGGATCTTATCAGTACTAAAATATCAGACATAAATTGTTCCCAGCCCTGCCCCTATTCGTGCCATTCCATTACGCTTAATTGTATTTGTCGGAAATGGCGCTTTGTGGCATATGTGGCGCACTTCGACAAACGCGGCGCATTTTCACCCGGTGATTGAGCATGCATCTTGACACCAAATTGCACCCATATCGGACTATATTTGACAAAACTGTGCGATTTGCGGCAAAAATGACGCCCTGAGATAATTGTGGCGCATTGCGACAAACGCGGTGCATTTGTAAATTCCTATCACAAACTGTTCCCTTTGAACGAAAATCAACACATTCTCTAGCCACTTTTCATTCAAATTAAAAACCTGCCCATCCGCCAATGCGAGGCACCCGCCACCGATCGGCATGCATTTCGTCCACAAAGTTTGTCGACCCCGGCTCTCAATGAAGATATAAGAACCGATCAAAATTTCATTGGCGTTCTTCCGGCGCCCGCCACGTGCCAACCGTGCACCCCAGCGAGTCGGAACCTAGAAAAGGCACTGACCCGCTCTGTCACCTATAAGGTGTGCAAATTTCAACCCCCTACGATATACCGTCTGCCCTGTAGGCCGGCTAAATTGAACCCACTACACGACGTGGCGGACAGACAGACAAACAGATGGATCCTGTTCAAATAGTAAGATAGATGAGAACGTTCTAAGCCCGGTACCAGGAGCCACAATAAGCATTTTAGTCGAGGCCGGTCGGTCTCCCACCGTCTCACGTCTCTCTCTCTCTCTCTCTCTCTCTCTCTCTCTCTCTCTCTCTCTCTCTCTCTCTCTCTCTCTCTCTCTCTCTCTCTCTCTCTCTCTCTCTCTCTCTCTCTCTCTCTCTCTCTCTCTCTCTCTCTCTCTCTCTCTCTCTCTCTCTCTCTCTCTCTCTCTCTCTCTCTCTCTCTCTCTCTCTCTCTCTCTCTCTCTCTCTCTCTCTCTCTCTCTCTCTCTCTCTCTCTCTCTCTCTCTCTCTCTCTCTCTCTCTCTCTCTCTCTCTCTCTCTCTCTCTCTCTCTCTCTCTCTCTCTCTCTCTCTCTCTCTCTCTCTCTCTCTCTCTCTCTCTCTCTCTCTCTCTCTCTCTCTCTCTCTCTCTCTCTCTCTCTCTCTCTCTCTCTCTCTCTCTCTCTCTCTCTCTCTCTCTCTCTCTCTCTCTCTCTCTCTCTCTCTCTTCGCCTGTATTTTAGTAGTCGCAGAGGTCATTTAACACGCGCACCGACGGGGGGCGGATATCCGCCCCCCCCCCCCTGAGGTTTTTCGCGGATAGCGGGAAAACCGCGGCGCGTAGCGCCGCGAAATTTGATACGACTACCTATTCTCTCATCAATTTTACACATGGTGTGTCAGTTTGAACCTCCTAACTTTTAAGGTCAGGTCACCAGGTCACTTTGAATGACCCAACCTCAAGTCACTTTTTTGCAACTTTGTCACCGTGCCAGAGCTACAGTAGATGTCGGAGGCCTTTGAAAGTCGCAGGATGTTATTAGATCATTAGTAGCTACAATTTGTTTATCTCGGAATTTTGATGTCGGTGACCTAAGGTCAGGTCAATTTCGCGACCTCCCCAAAGTCAATGGGGGAAAAATCAACTCCCTGTTTTTACCACTAAAACCGGTCGGAATGGCCCCATATACCATACATGACTTCATATACGATCAACCTTCACTACCTTGAGGTCTATTTTGCTGTTGGGCAGCTGTAAGGTCATGTGACGTCATCAAAGGTAACCAGCGGTTTTTTTTGCCAATAACTCCGTACAGGAACAAGGTACAGCCGCGCGGATGGTCTCATTGTGTTCGGCTCGTCAAGACACATCGAATGATATACATGATGACCTCGAGGTCACGTGACCTGAGGTCAACCTTTGACCTTGACCTTTCGAGGTCAACATATATATCATTCCATGCGGATTGACGAGAGGATCACGATGATGCCCTTAGTTTGTTCCTATCTTGACTAATTCGAAAGTTATTCGAGAAAAACTCTCCATATCTAGCGCCGCCATTTTGACTTTTTCGACCCCTGTGACGTCATCTTTGACCTGACCTGAAAATGACCTTAGTGAAAATTGTAGACCTTGCCCGTGCGTATCCTATGCCGTTTACCGCTTGTCGCTATCTTGCTTCGTTCTCGAGATCTCAGGGGGGCGGTCATCCGCCCCCCCCCCCCGTCGCACACTGGTCGGAAACGCTCCAGCGAGAGGCCAGCGGCCTTTCCGCAAAAGTTTTTTGCTTGTTATTCCACAACTAGTGAAGCAAACTTCATAAAACTTTGCATACCTTCTCTGTCATATGTAAGCTATCATTTGGATGTCAAGCACTAAATATATGACGTGAATCTGTTAAGTTATGACGTCATAATTGAGTATAATACAGGATCTAGCACCACTTTAAGTCAACAAGGGAAATTGGGAGCTACTATTCGGGCACCGGGAATGGTTTCATGCACTCCTTGCAAGGTCCAGTGCTTGACTTTAGCATTGTTGACTTTGCGTGACGTCATTTATGACGTCACTAAGGCCATATAAGTTTTTCGTCAATAACTCCTGATCAGATGGAGCTAGAGAGTCGGGAAAGTCACCATTGGACTCAGGAAGACCTGCCGAATCGAATGATATGCGATATGACCTCCTTCAACCATTTTCGTGACCTGAGGGCTCCGACCTGACCTTGACCCGAGGTTAACACCTTAACCCTCGCCGGCACAGGGGGGGTGGTTGATGCAACCCCCTAAGGTTTTTCGCGAATAACTCGCGTAAAAAACGGCCGATCACAACGAAACTTTCAGTACCCTCGCATTGATTAATTTTACACCTAACCTGAAAATTTCATGACCCTGACTCAAATGACCTTTGACCTGTGATCTCTTTTCCGAGACCATGTTTGGCCGAAATCGCGATTCGGCGTATGTCGGCTCGCACTAGCCGCGCGTTTGCAAGCTTTTCGTGGTTTCAAACGTTCAAACATGTGATTTGATGTTGCTCCCATACATTAGGATGGGTGTCAAGGTCACCTGAAGGTCAGGTCAGGTCATTGAACTTTGGTGACCTCGGGTGACCTCGGCTCACTTTTTCGAAATTTACATGTTTCTAGGCTAGTTTTTGGAGCTGCATTCTAATTTAGCAACCATTTGAACATTTACGAAGTAGTTTTGGCGCCTTCGTAACATGTTACGAAGCTGTCAGAGGCGGTTGACACGTATTACGAATACCCGTCACAACCCCTACCGGTTGACCCGACCTGACCTGACCCGACCTGGTCTAAATGCTTAAAGACATCATCTCTGATCAAAACTAATACGATATTCGTGATCAGCACCCCGGAAAACCACATGGCAGCCACAATTTACGACTTTCTAACAGGTCCCGATTTTCCCGGTTTTCGGGTCATTGACCTGACCTGGAAGGTCCCCCGATGACCTAGGAACTTAAAATTGGGTATCATCGGCTTCCTCTCGTGACGGGCAACACGCTCGTTTTTTCCGCGAGGCTCTAGCTCGATCAGGGGCCAAACGCGAGGGGGGGGCGGTCGTACCAACCCCCCCTTGTGCCGTCGAAGGACGCAAAATGGCCTGTGCCGGCGAGGGTTAAGTTGACTTCACCCGAACACCAAGTATAGCATTCAACGCGCCTGAGCTAGACAAACACTATTATGCCAAAATCGCGGCAGTGCGACCATTTTTGGCAAAGTAATTAACCTAAAACCGAGCCCGTGCCTTGTGGCACTTACCTGACCTAAGAGGTCACTGGCTGACCTAAGACCTTAAAATCGGGTAGTACCTAATTTTTGCGTCTTATAACGGCACACAAGCTTGTTTTTTTTCCGCGAGGCTCTAGCTCAATTAGAGGCGAAACGGCGAGGGAGTTGTACCAACCCTCCCCGGTCAATGTAGAAAACCAATCGGTCCGGCCAGGGTTAAATACCGGAATTGTGATCTAATGTAAAAAGACGACCCAAGGTAACCCGACGTCAGTGACAGGTGTCCTATATTTGCAGCGTCTTATATTCACGAAGGTTTCAATTTCCACTTTCTTCAGCCGAGTGATGGTTGTCAATAGCAAGGCTCTCTAAATGCAAGCCGTAATCGCCACGCAATACCTATGTGGAAGGCTTTTGATGTCAATACATACATAAATGCATACATAAAACGCGCTTTTCACAAAATTCATAAACTCAAGCGCATCTGTTTTTAATGACCAGTCAACTACGCATGGATGCGTGCAGCCTGCAGGCCACACAGGTCAGCGTAAGCCGGGCGCGGCGGCCGAGCCGAAACTGGGGCGGGGCGGGCGGTAGTTGGGTAGGTAGAGCGGCTCCTGCAAATTTTGCGCAAATATGCGCAGTTAGCTTTTATGTTGCCCTGGTGTAAATTTAAATCCTACTTCATCTCACAAAAAAATCAGAGTGGAACTAGATGGGACTACCTGTTGTTTCCTTACCTAAACTTTGCAGTTATATTCCAGCATCACTGTAGGAGAGCCTTCATAAAAAAGCTATAGTACATCTTAGTTAGGGAAAAAGTATGCCAAAAATGTTGCACTGACCAGTCGGCAACTTCATAACGAACATTTTGATGCATAATATGTGGGATTTCAATTTGGTGTCTATCAGCAATAAGACTCTGAATATCCGGCTCAAGAAACCTCTTGCTCCGCGTCAGTTTCCGAGTTCTGGGATACCCCATCTTCGGGGGCTGATTACAGCTATTTTTGGTCACCCGGATTAGTTTTTTTGGCCTAAGTATAATAATTTGATCAATTTCAAATCGATCTATATAAAAAATAATCCGAAACTCCGGAATCGCCCGTGGCCTCTCGTGAGGGCGTTTCCGACCAGTGTGCGTCGGTGCGAAGTTGGCGCAGACCCCCGTCGGTGCGCGGGTTAAAATCAATCGTTTCACGTAGTTACGTTATTTGTCACTCAAACCGATTAACGTTTATGTTTATGTAAACGTTCATCTGATTCTGAACGTTTAGGTAACGTTTATGTTGCATCGATAAATGCCTTCAAAAGAGGCCCAGCGAGATCAGTAAACGGGTCGGTATTGAACGTAAAAACCACGGAATTAGCTTCCAGCTGCATTTTCTATACGGTTGTGAATGATACGAGTTTAATTTTGCTTACCACTCTCATCGATGCTGAGGTTTGACATTAGCCATTCCATGATATCATAGCCTGAAAGAAGGGTAACTCACGTTAGGGAAGGGTAGGTTCTCTCCAAAGCAGGGCGAACGAACTGATTGGTATAACTTACATATTGTAGAAAAGGTAATTAAGCTCTGATGTTAGTTTCCCATGAGCACAAGAATTCGTAGTCGGCAGCCGTTTTCGAACTTTTGACTAAAAAGCCCGGTGGTTTGGGCAAACGGACAAATCGAGCGTCGCTGTCAGTCAGCGCTATCTCACCTGTGAAGGCTGAGGGGATGGTCGTGAGGAACAGTTTCTGGCTGCGGACCGGCACCCCGGTCTCGGGACTCTGCATCTCTCTCACTAACGTCTCCATCTGAAGGAGACAAGAGGCCGAGTACGTGAGCGATATCCTATGTCCATGTGATGGAGACAAGAACATGTGAGCACGTGACTTGAACTGAAACGTCTCTATCTGGCGGAGACAAGGACTGAGCATGTGAACGGTATCCAAGGTTCATCTAACGGATATAAGGGCTGCACGTCAACCGTATCCATCTGACGGGAGACGAGGGGAGTACGTGAACCGCATCCACAATGGGAGCACGTTAACCACATTTATCTGACGGATGCAAGCGACCACTTATGTTTATTTGTTTGCCATACTTTTTGCCAGACGAACATACGAACACCGCGTCCATCTGATATAGACAATCGGTGCACCTGTACCGGCATCTCATGCGGAGGCAAGAAGTGCAAGTGAATTGCAAGCATCCATCTCACGAAGACAGCCGGCAAAAAGAGGCACAAGATGGTAACAAAGCGGGTATTGACATCTACATGTATACGACGGCAATACGCTGACAAAGCGAAAATCAGTACGATGGGAAATTAGAATCCTTCCGTCTCCTTGTAGCGACTTACCCTATAGTAGCAGGCGTTCAGGGGCGATGTGACATCCTCGCGAGGAGCTAGCACGCCCGTGCCGCGGTGCTCGATCCGCCTCTGTCTCATCACCAGGGTCGCTGCCGTCGCCCCCATCGGTCTCCGCTGGAGCAGGCGTAGTTAGCGCCTTGACTCGAACGGTCAGTTAGGCAACTCGGCTGGATCAGTCGGAGTTAGTCTTGGCTCAGGCGATCAGCTAGGCAACTCGGCTGGACCAGACGGAGTTCCTAGAGCCTCAGACGGTCAGCTAGGCCACCATCCAGTTTCAGGAGCTGTAGCGTCTGGGTTAAAGTTCATCGCCGCCACTGGAGCATTGCCATTAGGAAGAACGATGCATCACAATGACAGCTTAGATGCATGACAGCCAGTCCAAATCTTCCCGTGCCATTAAGGAAATCAGTAAGTTTCTAGCAGAGACCAGTTAAGAGACACACAGAAGAGAAGTCCAGTGAGGGATAGAAACACAGACGTTAGACAGAGAACAGCAGCGGCCCGGTCGGCGACTCCTTTCGGTGCAGCGTCCAGACGGTCACTGAAGTTCGACCGCAACCCGGCGGCCGGCCGGCGATCCCGCCAGTAGCAGCTGCCGCCGGATGTCGGGCAGGTGGATCCCACAAATGGAGAGGCTCAGACGAGAGCCGGTCCCATCAGACAGGTCAGGCGACCACCGAGATAGCGGGGCAGGGGAGTGCGAGCGGTCAGAGGGGAGTCGCGGACCTCTCCGGTGCTTCTGACGAGAACACTCGAATAAGTGGCGCGCTACTGCATGACTCTTTTCAAACGCACTTGTTGATACATATAAAACAATGTAAAACATGAAAAAGATCAGCACTTATATTGGTTTTCTTATTTTCTGCACTCAGCGCAAAAATGCCAGCCTTCATTGTCATGATGAAAAAGCGGCCTATTAGGATGCGTCGTAACGAAAAAGCCAAATGCGCTATTCATTGTCCCCCCCCCCCCCCCATATCCAATCGCTCGGACCTCCCAGTTGCTCCCGTCGTCTCAAACCATCATCAGCTTAGTGTGTTATTTTATTGCCACCGATCGACTTCATGACATCACAAACACATTACAGATGCCTGGACACCTGTTAATTGAGGGGAAGCCATGTCAGTCCCGGTCACTCGGCCTGCCCGGCGCAATTATGTCACATTCGTCTGAATTCGCCACCGACCATGTATCGTACTACATCGCACCAATTCGCCAGCTCGGCACAGACAACCAAAGCAGCAGCATGACAGCGACCGCCGCGCCGCCCTATAGTCCATCACAAAATTGTACTGCTGCAGCCGCCCACAGGTGGCGAGACGAGCGCTACTGCTCTGACCGCCACTGGAGGGTTCTGCCAATAGTCGGTAATAGTATAACATGTATCATTAATATAGATATACGGGGATATTGGTAGCACGCCTAACAAGTTCGGCACGGATGCCGAAGGGGTCAACAGTTCCACACGTCGAGCCACAGCGAGTCGCATTTGTACCAAACCGTCCCGCGCGACTAACATATGGGGATCACATCGACTGCTTAACGATTAACCACGGGGCGCCGCAGGAGAATTATGTCACCTCTAACAACTACATTATACTGACGTCCATTTCACTATGCATCGCCTCTAAAACTCGCGCGTCTGACGGAAAATAATTTAAACGCGTGTCGGAGCCTATGAGCGTGCGCTCCGTCGTCAGTGATTCTAACTAGCAGGCCGTGGCGGCGCTCTCTGGCGCCGCGCACTGGATCGGTCCGGTGGCGCCGGTGACTGCCGGCGCGCGTCCCGTGCAGAGCTGGTGTGGACGGCCGGCCGCGGACGGGGCCGCCCACGGGTCGAGCGGCGGCAGACTGTGGGCCAGAGCGAGACACAGATGACTACAACAGGAGAATGTGAACCAGGGGGACACAGTTATGGATACAGCGAGATAATGTAAGCTAGAGAGACACAGAGAGGACACAGCAGAGTTCTAACTACCTACAGCAATAGGCTGAGTTTCAGCGCTCAAAGAGGGACTCACTTATGCGGCACTGGGTTGTGGACCACGGCGTATGACGTGCACATCATTTTACTGCAGCCGACTACCGATTAACTGCATACGCTGAAGGCACTGCTAGTTTGATCCAACAGACCCGGCGGGTCAGACGGCAAAACGCACACTGGCTCCATGGCAATGCGGGGTCCACTGGCGCGGTTGGAGTGAAACAAGTCGTTCGCCACTACATTGACTTACCAATCCTGCAAGCAAATACGAGTAGGCAGTATCGCTTGCGATCTTTTCGCGGTTCGTAGCAAGAAGCGGCCGAACGAGTACTTTTACGGAATATGACTACTAACAGTCCGGGCGGGGGAGGGAGGAGCCGCGCTCTTGACGAGTACCTCTGTCTAGGCTCGCTCTGGCCGACCGCCACTGACCTGCTCCGCCCTGGGGCTCCGCTCCGGGGAGCGACTACCGGCGTCATCTACTGACGGCCGATGACCTACCCCCCCCCCCCCACTGACCTCTTCCCTCCCCACTGACCTGCTCCGCTCTGTGACTCCGCTCCGGGGAGCGACTACCGGCGTCATCTGCTGACGGCCGATGACGCCGCCGTCGACGGCACGCGGTGAGAGTGGGACGACAGCGACGAGAAGCCCGACGTGCCCGAGTTGAGCGACGTCATCGAACCCCTGTGGAGAGTGAGGGCGCCGTCAGGGGTCGGCAGGATTCACATACGTTCACGATGCCAGAGTAACAAGCGCCATTTTCAACATCAACGCATTGCCATATCACCGATACGATACTCTAATCACAGACCGTAAAGGGCGCAAAAAGCTTAGTAGCTAAACACCCAGCCAAACCATTTCATCCTCATCTAATCACAGACCACTCATGATCACCTTCTGATAAACCCCAACCACCCCGCCCGCGTCACCCACTTGTAGTCGGCCGAGCGGAGCGTCTCGTAGAAGTACATGATGCGCGCCTTGTGCGCCGTAATGGAGTCAATGAGCTCGAGTGGCGAGCCGTGGTGTCCGCTGGCCGACTCCTGGTAGCGCCACTGCAGGATGTAGGTGCCCAGGTGGGCCGTCACGTGTGTGCCCTGTCAGTAAAGGTCACATGACTCGTCAGCACAGGAACCGACTGCGAACGGGCGGAACCGACTGGACGGTTGTAAAAGGTTACGGCGGGGTTACTTACTACGCTTTTATTATTATTTTACACGATCGTTTGGTGAGTCCCAAACACATTCGATCTATTAGGTTTCCGGTTACAATCTGAGGCCTGTTTCACTAACAAATAAAGTGTGTAATTACAAAGAAAAAACTTGAGTTTAAAAGAAATAATTACCAACATTTGAAATTTGGATTTCACGAAACCTTCGGGCATGAATTTTGAGTTTAACATTTGCAAACTTTTTTACAAGAAAAAGTTTGCTAGAAAACACGGGAATCGCAAACTTTCTGTTTCACGAAGACCAGAAACTTGAAAGAAAACATCGTAATTACAAACCTGAAATTCCAGTGGTCCTGACGTTCGGAATTTTGATACTTTTTGTGCAATGATGCAAAGCAATCAATTATTTAAAACAAATATGATATGCTGAGTCATTATATGCTCTTTTTCACTTAGCACATTCCCTACGAACCAGCTACGAGCAATAAATAAATATCGTCATGTTTTGTCATTCGCGCGCCATAATTGCATTCAACAGTCTTCTGCTGTCAAATGTTTTTTACGTGTTATTTTCATTCAATAATAAGATATTGTGAACTATCATTTATACCACTCAGAAACAGCATCATTATTTTTAATTTATTCCTGTAATTTCTGACATGAAAACTAGACATAGTTTGATAAAAAGAAGCAATATCTGTAACATGGTAAAGTTCTTGATTAAAAACAATTTTATTGTTTACAAGTTTATTTACCAACTCTTTTTATTGGAGGTGCCGCTGGTGATGAAGTTTAGTGAAACCCGATTTTACATAGTTTGCAAAAATACTTATGAATTGTAAAGTTCAAACACTTGTAATCGCAAGTTTTTAGTGAAACAGGCCTCAGACGGAAATCCAGCACCAACATGACATTTATATCCATGCAAACGGGCAGCTGAGGTGCCCAATGCGAAAATATGCCACTCAGCCGCTTATCCGCAGAAGTTACGGTCTTTATCTTCTTGCCCCAGCCCGCAGTCGGTCGGCACTCGGCACCCACCTGCACACTCTCTCCGTCGTGGCAGATGAGTGTGGGCTCCACTCGGAAGTAGTCGACGCCCTCCTTCCAGTTTTTGTCGATCACCGACCGGTGCTCGGCGTCCTCCGACAGCGGGTTCAGTGAGTCCAGCACCTGGAGCGGACCTGAGGAGGAGGGCACATAATGCTGGTCATGCACAGAGTCAGAAAACGAAGAGAGCACACTACAGAGTCAGTTAACGGGAAACACACCGAGTCAAAACACGGAAAACACACAGGGGCGAAGCATCGAAAACTCAGAGAGCCAGAACTCAGAGAACACAAGTGATCGGACCGTTACTCAGTCACATCGCTACCAAATAAAAATGTACCATGACTCTGCCACTCAGTGCCTGTGCTGTTTTGGATAAAGCTCACATATCACAACCTCCGACTCGCCATTGCTATTTGAACGGTCCTAACAGCCGGCCATCCCCTAACCAACAACACTCACCGGAGTGGGCGTGCGCGTGCGCCTCGTCTTTGTGTGTGATGGGCACCTTGGTGCGCAGCACGGAGAAAGCCACGTCCGACTTCATGATGTCAAAGTCCCAGCAGATGACCGAGCCGCGGTCGTCGTTCAGAATCAGCACCTCGTGAACCTGAGCCAGAGAAGGCCGGTCAGCTACCGCAGGTAGGCGACGGACCGAGAGGCGGGCGGACAGGCGAGAGGCGTGTAGACTGAACTGGATGGCAGAGGAGCGAGCTTATAGACTGAACGGGAGGACAACGGACTGGATGCAGTTGAAACAATTACGCCGGCCAGTTCCACCCAGACGTCACGGAAGATAGATTCACTGACAAAACTTCACAAATTAACAGAGCAAGACTAATTCACTGGTCAGACGGAGCTCCGCCGGACTAAATCACAGGTGCGACACGTCATAATTTTCCCCACGCCGACGTTCTAGTGGAAAGCAGTGCTCAACTGACCAATCCCACCAGGCCGACAGCGATACGGAGCTCGCAAGAATAACAAAGGCTAGATAGTCTTTCACTAGGAGCTCTACCAGGTGGATTGGAGCGCTCACCTGTCCACGCGCCAGGCTGACACAGTGGTAGATGGAGTCCATGTCGCCACACAGCTCAGCCCGCTGCTTCTCCAGCTCCTCGATCGGCATGTACATGGTCTTGGGGATGAGGCCGCCCTCGCTGATCCCGCACTGTGGGAGAGACGTGTCGGGGCCGATCCGACTTCAGATATAGTTAGAAGCAGCCAGCCTTGTGGCCAAGAAGATACTGCCACCTAGCCCGAGCTCGATATGGATTTCAAAGGTCAATGAGATATTATAAAAAATAAACAAATCAGGACGGACTAAGTTGCGAAAGACTCGCGACAGTTGACAACAAAGATGATGTAAATGTTTTAAGTTTCAGTGATTCCGCACTTAAAAGGCCATCAGATTCGGCACCCATTCACGAGCTGTCAAGAGCACCAACTATCACCGGGCACGTGATGCTCCAGTACCCCCACAACCACCACCCCTGTCTGACCCACCTCTGCCTTTCCGCCAAGGAAGACGGGGATGTGCTGCTCGGGGATGTACACCTTCAGGCCGTGCTCGAAGTCGTCGTCGTCGCAGAAGAGGAACTTGTCGCGTGTGCGCTCGTCGATGAATGTGGAGACGAGTGTCCAGAGGATGGGGAAGACGCGCGGCGCCTGGATGATCAGCACGCGGCCCATCGTCTCCGGGTAGTTGGCCTCCATTATCTCGATGATGCGCAGCAGACACTGGCAGCAAGGAAACAAGACCACGTTGGGAAGCGAATTTCAGCACGAAAGGCGCGACGAACTTTAGCAATCAGCACACTCACTCATTTCTGATGCATTTGTGCATGCTCTGGTCGTCAGATGAACCCTCAGTAGTTTGATTTTGATTATTGCCAAAAGTTCTCCCGGTTGTCCAAAGATAATGTTCATTTTTAGGACAAATATGTCAGCCCCGCGGCAGCACGGCGGCGACCTACCTTGATGCCGGGGCGCCACAGGTGTCTCATGTTGAGTCCGTCCAGGTCTGCCAGTAGCGTCCACGAGCAGATGGGACGGCCCTCGCGCATCGTGGCCTCCTCCGCCAGCCGCAGACCCTCCTCGCAGATGTGCAGCACCTGCGCAAGGGCGGTTAGAAGTCAGCGACAGTGTAGATACTCAGCTATCGGCAACTGCGATCATGCCATGGTTTGGCATTGCATGTGGACCCCTGCTACCATCCACTACTGTGAAGAAATTTTGGATGATCTTCGTGCCGGAGCAGCGCCAGCAAGAACCACCGCCGGTCCACCCCGGCCCATATGCACTGATGTTACCGCCGGTGGTGTCAGTCTCCCCCTCCCCCCCATCCTATCCCCTGACGATATATTCGGGTCTCACTACTCGCAACTTACCAGCTTGAGTAGGCCCTCCTCTCCGATGGACTTGATGAGGCCCTTGACGTCCATCTGTCCCAGCCGAAGGACGTATAGAGGACGGCCGTCTGTCGAAAAAAAAAAACAATGTGAACATCGTTGAGCCCGTTTGATACGATACATCGTCGAAATACATGATATAAATTGCAGAAGACCAAACGCTAGGCTCATACCGAGAGCTCGACCAGTGTCCCACACAGCCAGTAGACCCACTAAGGCATCTAGAACTCACCCGTCTGCATCTCTCACGGGAGTCAGAGGTGCAGAGCCAACACAGCTGAGTCACGGCCTACCCAGTGGAGTCAGTAGGTACCAACCCATGATTGGAGTCAGCACCCACCCGGTCCCTCACCTCTGTCCGAGTGGTGCCAGCCGCCGGGGAAGTGGTCGCGCACCACCGACGGCGACTGATACTCCTGCAGAATGCGGTCCACCTGGTACTTTTTACGCCACACCAGGCTCGCGCTGATCATCTCACGGGCACGCTCCACGTGAAACTCGCGCGCGCGAAGGAACCGCAGCAGCGTGGCGTCGCCCGGGGTCTGGGGTAGAGAGATGGCAGCGGTGAGCGAGGGGATACGCGGGGCAGGGGAACATCGTCCCGGAACTCGGCAGACATATGGGTGAGGAATGGTTCGGGTCTTTAGTGTCTCTACATAATTATATCGGATATGGCATTATTACGGAGCGAGCGAAGCGAGCGTAGTCTTTCCTTAGATTAACGGAAATTTCTGAGTATGAGTGGCCGGCCGGCCGGCCGTGGTCACGATTCTACGACGCTTATATCTCAGCAACCACTTGACCGATTTACACGCGGTAATTTTTGTAGGGTAGCTTCATTCCATCTACCAAGTATTGGACTATTCCCGATGCATGTGGGTGACCCCTTATGCACGTGCCACGTGCAAAACGAAGAGGTGTCACTTTTGTAATTGTTGCAATATCTCGGTAACTACTTGGCCGATTGCGCTGAAAGTTGGCATGTAGGTAGGCACCCACTAGGCAATGCACATCCGTGTGCCAGAATCGGGGTGCTGCTGCACGTGCGCACGTGCAGGGGTCGATTCCAGATCTCGAGAACGGCTGGACCGATGGCGCTCAAATTTGGCACATGGTTAGGGACCGGTTACTAGGGTGCCGTGCAAAAGTCAGTTGGGACCCATTTTGCACGTGCGCATGTGCAGGGTGCCGCTTCCAGATCTCGAGAACGGCTGGGCCGATTGTGCTGAAATTTGACACATCGCTAGCATAGGCGTAGGAACAGGGGGGCCAGGTGGGCAAGTGCCCACCCACTTTTCGAGGTGGGGGGACCAACCATGTGTTTTGGCCCACCCACTTTTTACTCGAGGCCCCTCGTCTCGATTTGAGAGGACGTCGTCACCTTCCAGAATAAACAAACTCGGTAAAAATAAGTTCCACGAATCCCCACGCACGGACTCCAAGGGGCCGTGATGGATCCAAGGAGGCCCTCTGTTCATACTTGTCAGTCGAAGCCCCTGAGACTGATGGCCTGAGAGGCCCTAGTGGATCTGAGGAGGCCCCAATATCCACACTGGTCTGGGGAGGCCCCTGACACTGGCGGTCTGGGAGGCCCCTCTATCCACACTAGTCAGAGATCTGAGACTAGTGGTCTGGGAGGCCCCTCCATCCACACTAGTCAGAATAGGCCCCTGACACTGGCGGTCTAGCCGAGGCCCCCTACCCTCACTAGTCATAGGAGGCCCCTCTATCCTCAATAGTCAGAAGAGGCCCCTGAGACTGATGGTCTGGGATGCCTATCCATCTACACTGTAGCCAGAGGAGGCCCCTGAGACTGATGACCTGAGAGGCCCTTATAATCACACCAGGCAGAAGAGGCCCATGAGACTGATGGACTGAGAGGTCCTTCTATTCATACTGGCCACAGGAGACCCCCAAAACTTTCGGTCTGGGAGGTCCCTCAATCCGGCACCAGTCAGAAGAGTCCCCTGAGGGCCTGGGAAGCCCTTATATTCACACTAGGCAGAGGAGGCCCCTGAGACTGATGGTATGAGAGGCCCTCATATTCACACCAGTCAGAAGAGGCCCCCGAGGCTGATGGCTGTGAGGCCCTTCTGTTCATATAACTGGCCACTGGAGGCCCCTGAAACCGGTGGTCTGGGAGGGCCCTCTATCCACACTAGTCAGAAGAGGCCCCTGAGACCGATGGTCTGAGAGGCTCTTATATTCATACTGGCCACAAGAGGCCCCTGAGACTGATAGTCAGAGAGGTCCACTCCTAATGAATCTGAGGGGGCCCTCTATCCACATTTGCACTTTTCTAGGGAGGCCCCCGAGACTGATGGTCTGAGAGGCCCTTTTATTTATACTGTCCACAGGAGCCCCCTGAGATTAATGGTCTGAGAGGCTCTTCTATTTATACTAACCAGAGGAGGCCCCTAGGATTAATGGTCTAACAGGCCCTTCTATTCATACTAGCTAGAGGAGGCCCATGAGACTGATGGTCTGAGAGGCCCTTCTATTCAAACTATATATACATATGTAGTGTCTCTTAGGGCCCTATATCGGTGGCTCTGGGGGCCCCACACCGGCGCCTCTGTGGGCCACCACACCTGTGCATCTTAAGGCTCTATAGGTACACATCTGAAGGACCCACACCGACACCTTTCAGGGCCCCACACCAGTATCTCGGAGGCCGGAGCTCTGAAGGCCCCACACCGGTGACTCTGACGACTCACCGGCTCCTGAGAGCACCATGTTGATGCCTAACGGCTCCACAAGGCCACTGAAGGCACCACACAAGCTCTCACTGAGCTCTAATATCCATGTACCGGCCTCTGAAGGATTTAAGCCAGCGCATTCATAGCTCCACACCAGCAATTGTAAGGGCTTCACACTGAAGCATCTGAGGGTTCCACACCGGTGTCTCTAAGGGCCACATACTGGCATCTCTGAGGGCCCCATACCGGCGTCTCCGAGGGTTCACATCTGGCGGGCACCCATCAGCGACTGAAGGTCCCACACTGTCGACTCCGAGAGCCCCATCTGCGTCTGGGAGCACCATGCCGTCTCTAAGAACCACAGCGGCTCCTCCGTACGAAAGATGGGCGTCTGCATGCCAAAGGGGAGCGGTTCTGAGACAGTAGGGCACCTACGTGCAATATCTAGAGGGGCGCCTATAAAGCCCATATCAATGCGAAAGAGGGGCGCCTCTGAGGCCTACATATATGGGCATCCACATGCAATAGAGGTCTGCGACTGCAATTGATCAATGCAATGGGGGTGCATTTATAAGAAACAGGGGAGAGGCATGGCAAAGAGAGGCGCCTTCAAGTGTCCATAAAAGAAAGACCCGTATGCTAAGCGCACATTGTATGCGACAACGGGGCGACTGTGGGACATACAGGGATGTCTCTGATGACTATACATAGGGCGCTTATATGCCAAAGAGGGCGCCTATGCAGCTAATGGGGGCACCTGGGAAACGAGGAAGACATTTGTGTGAAGCGGGCCGCCGTCCACTATGCGGAGCGCTTGCGGTCCGTACGGAATTTAACACAGAGAGAGCCCTATGGGCGCATGCGGTCTCCGTCCGGAGTCGGTCAGGAATGTCTCCGCATCCGGACAGCAAACGGAGAGCTCACGCACACTCGATATCAGTTGTTACAAAAAGAAAATATGGCCATTGCCTAGCATCACAAGATATTGGTGCCATGCCAAGGAAATAATATTAATTTACTTTGTCTTGAAAGAGTTGAAATTCAATCTTAAATTTGCAATTGAGAACTCAAAGACGGGCGACGGGCCATGTCCGGCCCGCATCCATTCCGTCTGCGTTCTCCGCACAAAGTTCAACACGTCGTACTTTGGTAGGTACTTCGTCTCTGCTGCGACAGCCGCGACAGCTGCACTTCGGATGTCGATTGATAACCCGATTTCGAATTTAGCTCGAGGGAGGTCACGCGCGACTTGCATAACGTGACTTCCGAGTCGGGACTGAATATAATTACGCCAATTATCAGCGATATGTGTCCACACAACATGGATGCGGTCCGCACACGATTTCCGTACGGACCGGATGCGCCCACCTTAATTCCGTACGGACCGCAAGCATTCCGCACAGTGGACGGCGGCCTTAAGGTTTTTCAGGGGTCATGCGCCGTTTGCGGCAAATAGATTCTAAAAAAAATCGGAGGGGGAATAAGTTTTAAAAATGGTGCGGACTTTCCGCACTGTTCGCTTAAGCGGTTACGCCCCTGGGTAGGTACATCTGCCCGATCTCAGAAGCTAGATTTGGAGGTCATACTTGAAAGCAGCCAGCAGGACGAGGCAAAAGCTGGAGGGCCCCTGAAAATAGGAGGCCCCCTGGAAAAGGAGGCCCCTTGACAGGGTGGCCCACCCACTTTTCATGACGTTCCTACGCCCGTGATCGCTAGAGACCGGTTAGTAGGGTGCCGTGCACAAGTCAGCTGGAGGTACCCTGTCGAAATTTCGCACGTGCAAGGCTCACCCTCTCGCTCGCTCCGTTAGTCGCCCCAAAAGGCGTTATACTGGTATATTAGCATGTGTTATGCTGACATGTGAAGGAATCTCTGTGCTGTGTTATATGGTAATGCTATAATGCTAATGCTACGACAGCGGGTAATGTTCCGGACACTAAGGTCGGTGATTGTGCCAGCAGTAGCCAGGTAACTGACCTTGCCTTTCACCAGCTCGGAGACCATGGTGCGCAGCTGAATCAGCTGACTCTCCTGCAGCGGTGTCAGGTTGCCAAGGCAACGCTGAATGTAATCCGCTTCCAGCTGACTCCTGCCGTCTATCGACAGAAAAATACAAAGGTCGGTTTTTAGTAATGAAAGAGCGTCACGGGGTGTAGAGGCATTGAGTCACGAAACAAGGCCGTCACCACGGGCACCACAACGATCATCGTGAATGTTAATTAACGAATCTCTCCTCGTCGTAACGAAACGAAAATCTCCGCGTCAAAACAGCGTCTGTGTACAGAGCACCGCGTCCTGCGCCTACTCTGCGAACAAAGGGAACCCAGAGCACACCCGCACCGGACCATCAGACCATCAGTCGTCACAATAGACACATCACAGTATGTACGGAAACGTTCAAAGGGGGAAAGCAGTCATGCCATTGCACGCACGTGTTCCACGGGTGACACTACAAAAAAGTTTCATTTGATCCCTTCTAAAAAGGTACTAAGATCATCGTCGCATGATGTGTTGGACGCCAGCTGACAACGCTAAAGACAATGAAAATAATGATCCTTCTAGCACGCATGCTTCCGGAACACTAAAACCTCAGCCGGCTACGTGTATCAGGTTATTAGTCGTAAGGTGAGCTAACGTACTGTTCTTTTTCTACGCTCTAAGCAAACACTATAAAATGATGACGATGAATCAATTGACACTTTTCAGATTGAAGTGACCTTAAAACAGTAAATACGATTAAGGTGAGACTAAGGGCACTTGAGCAAATAGAAATAGTGCCCAAGAATTCATGTCACATTCATGGCATGGTAATCCACCATCCGTAGCATAAAATTAAGTGGGAGTCACGGCTCCTTTAAATACCAAAGTTATCCCTTTCTCTTGATAAGCATGCTCATCCAATCCAATACGCGGACATCGGGTTGACCAGCGCCTCTGAGCTGTGATCCAGGACCATAATGCAGCTTGGCAGTTCTGCAATGCCCACAGGCGTTACCAACGCGATCTTCTCAACTTTTTTCGGACAGCCCCCAAGTCCCAACACGTTTTCAATTGGCGACAAGTTTGATAACAACACCATCCCACCCAGAAATAGCAATGTTGGTGTCGGATAAATAGGTATCGACTTGTAAATCGCGTGACCGCAGCTGCTAGTCAGCCTCCTTTTCAGTTCTGTCGAATGGCCTTCCTTGATAGTAATCTTTAGTCATGACAGGTTTTGACGCACAAATGACAGATGTCTTCCTCCTGAAGTTTTTCTTCTTTTCGAGCGTCTACCTGTCCGCATCGCTGGCTCGACTGCTCCACAACAGACACGTATAAAAACTCGTGTCCTAAGTGTCTCGTCAGAGCGTATGCATCGGCCAACATAGCCGGAGGTCCGGTTCTGGTGAGTAAGGGGTTAGAACGGACGCACACGCAGGGTGGGAAGGGGAGGGGAGGCACCCACTCACCACCACCCTCGCACGAGCACACAGTGGCCTGACTGGCGCGCCGGAGCGACTCCTCGGCCCGGGAGGCCACCACTGCGCGCAGAAACAGGGAGCTAATGTACCGAGAGGCTGGCGCTGCTGTGAAACTAACTATCATGGCCCGGGCGGCACACATAACTTCAACCCCAGACACCTTGACCGGCTGATGTAAACAAGATGCGCATTGTGCGCCTTAACACCAGTGCCCAGTTTTGAATGACTCAGTATTTCATTTCAGACATACTGAGAGCACAAAGGCGAGTGGTGAAGGACATGTCAGAGGGGGACAGGGGGGACATGGCGGACAGAGGGAAAAAAGAGGAAAGAAAAAATAAAAAGGGAGGACGGAAGGTCAAGAGAAGATCAAAAGACAGGTCAGAGGATGGCAGAGCGGGCAGCGAAAAAAAGGTAAGAGGAGAGAAGAGAGGGCATGAGGGAACAGTCGGGATGACACAAAACAATAGAAAACCGCGGCAGTGAGGCAGACATAGGACAGAGGGGGAAAAGGATAAAGAGGACAGAGGATACTGACCGAGGACGATGCAGGCGGAGACGGAGTGGCGGCGGCCGGGACTCAGAGCAGGCGGCAGCGGCCGGCGCGGCGCCGCTGCGGGCGCGGGTCGGAGTCGTCAGACGATGACGAGGAGCGTGAGCCGGCCGCCGAGGACCGGGACGACTGGGCTGCAGTGGAGAGACGGGTCAAAGGATCGGCCGGGCCGGCCGCCTAGGACTAGGGAGACTGGGCTACAGCGGATAGAAGGGTCAGAGAGTCAGCCCGCGCCACTGCCCGGATACCACTGATGGCTGCAGCTTACAGAGGGATGAAAAAAGAAAGACCAGTGGGCCTTACAAAATTGTCCTACCGCCGACCGCCCCCCAAACTCTCCTTAGCCTGGGTTCAGATACACCAGTCAGGTAGGCACGTATCCAACGAACGGCGGCCGCTGACAGCGCAGATCCACACTGACTGATTCGGTGGGTAATACCAGTCACAAAGTAAGAACAGTGATTGATGGGCGATGGCAGCATAGATCCGAGTGTGCGGGACATATGCGGTCTCTCCGGGTGGTGGCTAGTTGACGATGGGATAGATGGCCACGGTGCAAATATCGGCTGTGGATATAAAACTGTTTAAAGTTAATACAACTAATTGGTGTCTGTTCGCCAGTAGGTTCTCAGGAAAAGTGAGACTAACATTGTAAGGATATTATGACTGTGGCTTCCCAATAAGCTGCGTTAATACCGGCTGCTAGTAATAATGTTGTTGAAACAGTAGCATGATAATGCAATGACAGCATTTCTAACGGACGGTGGCGGCTGCACATTATTGCGTTTCCTCCATATCCAAGTCGGTATCCCCGCTCTTCCCGATCCCGTCCGCACTTCTGGATATCTATCTGCCCCTCCACAAAGCCGCTCGCAGCACCCTCGTTCCGTCGGGATACCCACTCGTATCACACCTCGTCCTATCAATACATCCGCCCGTATCCCCATCCGTCCGCCCATTCGTAGCGCCGACTGACCCGTGTCGGCAGTGGATCGGCGCCGGTGCAGCTGCGTGGCCGACACCAGCTGATTCTCAGAGTCATTGTCGGCGCCCGACAGCTCCAGATCAGACAGGTCCGTACGCACGCGTCTGAAACACATCGACGGAGCGGTCAGATCATGTTACTACCCACACACGTCTGCAATACAGCGCCAGAGTGGGTCATCGTTGGAGTTTGCCGGCGTGTCAACGGCGAGGTCATTAGCAGGTCTAGTCATGTAGCTCAGTGCACGGCTAAAACACAGTGCTGGACCAAGTCGGAAAAGGTCGATGGTGGTGTGGCACGAATGTAACCGTGTAAGGTAGCTAGATGTCCTAATTGAACATAGCTCATTACTGCAAAGGGGACAGCAGGATGAGTAGGAAATACGACAGATCACTAATGGATGTATAGCATTCGGTGGCACGACTCGCAGGAGAACGTTAAAGTTTGGTGGAATGTAAGCTGGTGCGCGAACTGTCAGTGATTGATTTCCAGGAAGCTGTGAGCGGAACAGGAAAACGCTGGGCGAAAACGAAACATAATGCAACTCAACCTATCGTTATAAAAACGAAACAAAACATTTCATTTTCTTCACGTTCATACTCCACACTGAACTGACAACATCCATGATCCAATCTACGCCTTCAAATAAATATTGTTTAGTCATGCGGCCCGATAAGGTAAGCATCACGTGCCAGGGCGGCACGGCACGGCCGGCCGGTACGATCACCTCGCTGCAATCATCAGACATCGGGCACCTGATCGTGCCGGAGCCGAGCAACGGTCAGCGAGCGGCAGCCACGGTAACTGTACCGTCCACAGTAAAACAGGGATGTAATGGACAGCGGCGGCCGGCCGGGGTCGGGCCAGGCCAGCTGGGGGCCGAGACAGAGATTGGGGCGGGGACGGGTGGGCGGGAGGGGGAGAGATCAATAGAGGCGGGCGCCCGAGACGCATGGAAGCGCCGGCCCGTCACCACCAGCGCTGGACGAGTCGGGAGCGGGGCGCGGAAAGGGTCGTAGTTAAAATACCCCGCTGGGCATGCTTATTTTTTTTTTCTAAGCCGCCGCCCATGATCAGACGACCAGGAGTGTCCACCCACTGACCCACGCGACAACAGCACCTTACGTTAACACCTCCCAAGACAAAAATATGAAGAAAGTCGCGACACTCCCTGCTAAGAAAAAGGAAAGCAAACAAAAACAAAGCTAAATACAATACTTAGTAAGTTAGTAAAATGTCATAAGAAGAGGCAAAGAAGTCAAGACTAAATGTAGCTTGACTGGCCGCTACACCATTCCGAAAGAAGATAGTGAGAAGGAGAGAGTGATCCAGGGGTTAGTGGTAATAAGCGCATGCAAAGCTTGCATTATAGAAGAGGGACAGAGCCTAGTCACACCCGGAGGAGTCAGATCCTCACCGAAAAGGGATACCGAGCTAAGCAAGCTTGTTGCTCGGTAAACCCAGGTCGGTGGGAAGTATCGTAGGGCTGATTTACGTATTGTTACGTATCCAGGAGAACTTAAGTGTGACTTGTAAGTACACAAAACAAGACGAGACGACCGGTATACAAATAGCAAGTAATGTAAATAGCAAGAAAGCTAGGTCATTGAGCGATGGCGATGATTCAAAGACATACAGTTAGTACTGTACGTACTGTATGATGTTTAGAGGGAGAAAAAGCAAAGCTTAACAAAAAGAAAAGGGCAAAACAAAAATGTGGGATAAAAGTTCGAGAAGAAGTAAAAGACAAACAGGGAAAAGACATAAGGACCACTAAATACCACCACCTCTTGTGGCGATCTAGGTACCCAGTTAGAACATACCTACCCAGTTACAGAGATGTACAATGTTCCAAAATTAGGTATGCATAAGTGATATGCATTAAAGACAAATTCTGTAATTGTTTACATATAACTATGTACTGTGCAAGTATGTACCTGTGAGAGAGCGGGTAAAAAATACATTATCAGGTAAATGTACGTACATACCCACAGTAAATAAAATAGGGGATCATTTCATTGGCAGGTATTCGTATGTTTACGAACGCAGGTGGAACACAAGAACAATAATGTCAGTGTTGGCAATGGTATCAGTATTGATCGATAAAAAACTGCTTTGAGAAATCCTTGATTTCTCTCTTTGTTAGTGGAACTGCTTCCATATCTGTGAACTTAGTACCTTATTTTTTTTTTGTTATCTTAAACCTTATATAACGGTTTATAAGGGTAAGCTGGAATACAAGACTAAAACAGGTGTCGAGCACGCCATGAAAAGGACAATTATCGCCCGACGAACATGGGTCCGAGTCCGGGATGCTTTGAAATACAGCAATTGTTACATTCTTGAGGGCTATTTGTCAGCGCTTTTTGTTGATAACGGTACAAGACGATTGTAACAGCTGTACGATCGCACCAAAATTTTGATGCATAATGTTCCTGTGCTAATTTTAGGTAAATGTAAGCCTAATATGCTGTTAACTTGACACAGAACCAAACACCAAAAGTATGCATGTTCCACGTTGGCCATAAAGACGAAAATACATTGTTATCGGAAAATGAATGAACACGGCAAACAGGTCTTCGACTGAGACGAAGGGACAATATTCTTGTCATAATTCAATACTGTGAACGGGGCAAACTTCTGAGTTCGTTCTGTGGTATTCAGCATGTTAAATAAGAAACGCTCAGCCAGTCAAAGGCTAATGACGCTGGCACTTAGCAGTTAACATGATGTGAACTTTGCTAGCCAGTATATCAAACGGGTTTGATATACTGGATACTGAAGTTCTTTTTTTTTGTTATCAAAAGTGAAGTTAAAGAGAAGAATATTATATGCCGAAACCCCGATAACCTCTTTTTGGAAGTAACTGGTCCTCGCAGATGTGTCTTATATTGCTTAATAACCCGATTCTGTAAATCAGAGTTTGTAGTGCGATTTTCAAAAAATAAAATAAAATATTTGTAGAAAGATTACCATTTTTGTTTTTTCCCAGTCGAAAGGAAATTGACGGAACTTTATTTCTGAGCAAAAATAATGGCAAATTTTAATGTACTAGGGGGGTAGCCAGAAAGTTTAAAAATTGATGACGTCACAGCTAAAAATCAAAATCATTTTTTTGAAAATCCGAGATGGCCAATTAATTGCCCATTTCACCGCCATCACAACGATGTACAGGTTTAATGCATTTCCTTCATTACTTTAGGAGATATAGCACCTCAAAAATCACTCTGCAGAGTGACCTCGTCAAAATGCCCGGGGCTATATCTCCTAAACCGCTGACCGTAGGGGCCTGGCGTTGTCACCATTGACTTCAGGGCATAAGAGAACCCTATAGACAAGATTTCATCAAAATCAAAAATGGTCGGGTGTTAGGCCTTGGTCGATCTATCGTGGAATGCCCCACCCGGCAAGGACATGACAGGGGGGGGGGGGGGCAAGAAAGTCACAGAGTCACCGGCTTTCCGTTGTTCGGTGCAGCGACTAGCCACTCCGGCCACCCTGTCTACCTTACAGACCACCTGCAACGGCGGCGCGACCCCCCTGCCCGTTGTCCTACCTTTGTTCTTGGTCCTCGGTGACTGTGACAGCAGGCAGGGCACTCCACCATTACCTACTCCTCCTATGCCTACCTCAGCTGGTAACATCTGACCACCTCTAGGGACCCCTCAGCCCGTTGTCCTACCTTTGTTCCTGGTCTTCGGTGACGGTGACGGCCGGCACTGCCGTGCTGGCACCCTCGAACGGCGCCACGTGAGTGATGCCCTCCTCCCGCAGCTGGGCGATAAAGTGCTCGATGATCTCCTTTCCCTGGAGACAAACACCACCACAGCCACGTTATACGACGAGAAAAGGGGTGTTGGTGAATGATAACAAACAACGGGAAACATTTCCATAAGAAGGGATCACATACCAAAAGTTATTTGTTTACAGTCGACTGACGACATTGTGCCGACATTGACCACAAAGAAAGGTCAGAAGAGGAAACGATCTACATTCTCTCAACACACGGTCAATGAAGACGCACAAAACGCGTGCTTCTGATGGCAGAACCATTTTACTGAAAACACCCTCTTAAATGGCCCTTGTTGCGAACGAATCGAATCCGGCCCCGATCGACCGGTAAAGTTACGAATATGCAAAATCCGAATAACACGGAAGTCGAATTAAAACTTGTTCCGAATCGATCAATCTATATTGTCCGCCATTTTTCCTTCTAATTTCAACGAGTTCATTCACACGACAACAATAGGACCGACGAAATTCCGACTGCGTGAAAATATGCAAAATGGCGCGTGCCATAAAACACTGGAGCCGCTACGGCGGCGACATCCTCCCCCCCAATAGTGACCCGTCGTCACCCTTGGCACCATGCCCATCGATACACACACTGGGCAGAGCGCAGTTGCACCACTAATCACCATCATCATCACTCCCCTCGAGGAGACACACTTTGCTAGCAGGACGGCGGAGACGTCCTCTAGCGGTCACTATATCCACAGAACGGACACGACCATCGGGTCCAGGGTACACCTGAGCGACTCGAGCCAGCGGCCACAATCCCTTTGGCGTGTCGTCGCCGGCTAGCAGCACCAAGTCTCCGACGCGCAGGTTCCGAACGTCTGACGTCCATTTGGTGCGCTGAGCGAGGGTGGGGACGTATTCCCTGAGCCATCTTCGCCAAAACTGTGCGGCTATGGCTCGTGCTTGCCGCCAGTGACTCCTGACATTCATTCGTGATGAGTCACTGAGCTGAGACGGCAGGAGACACGCCGGTCTGCCGAGAAGGATGTGACTGGGAGTGAGCGCTTCAAAGTCACTGGCCTCTGAGCTGACGTGCGTCAAAGGTCGACTGTTGATTACTGCCTCTACTTCTGCGATAGCGGTCAGTAGAGCTTCTTCATGAACGATGAAGTTTCCAAGGACTACTCGGAGTGCTCGTTTCACGGTTGCCACCATTCGCTCCCAAATACCTCCCATATGGCATGCGGTGGGAGGATTGAAAAACCAGCGGATATTGTCTTGGGCGAGCCGATCACTGATGCAGCCTTGATTTAGGCCGGTTAGAAGACGTCGGAGTTCAGCTTCCCCTCGGCGGAAGTTGGTTCCGTTATCCGAGTACACCGAAGCTGGCCTACCGCGACGAGCGACGAAACGCTGGAAGGCCATGAGGAACGATTCGGTGCTTAAAGATGTCGATAGTTCGAGGTGGACTGCTCTGGTAGACATACATGTCACCAACAGACAGTATCGCTTCTCCGTCTTCCTGCCTACTTTGGTGAGTATCGGGCCGAAGTAATCGATGCCGACGTTGCAGAATGGGTGTGTCACAGCTAAGCGCGCTTTCGGAAGCGCAGCCATTCTTGGCGTTTGAGGCTGGGCTCGTCTTCGTCGACAGAGCGGGCAGGCTGACAGGATCTTCCGCACTGTCGCCCGTGCCCTGGGGATCCAGTACAGCTGTCTGGCTTCGTTGATGACGTGTTCGGCGCCAGCGTGCAGAAGCTGGCTGTGGAAGTGCGTGACTACTAATCGAGTCACTTCACTGCTGCGAGACAGGATCACTGGATGGCGAGCCGTGGCTGGGAGTGGTGCGTTGAGGAGCCGACCACCGACCCGAATGACACCGTCTTCATCCAGCCAGGGTGAGAGTGCCAGCAGACTACTCTTGCTAGAGACCGATCTGCCGTTCTTCAGGTCGATCAGTTCCTGATGATACTGATCATTTTGCATCTTGCGCAGAATAAGGTTTTCTGCATCGTTCAACTCTGTCACCGAGAGCGTGCCAGCACGGCGCCATTCTTGCTCTTCTTGAGAGCCGTGTCTGGCCACGAAGTTGCAGAGAAACCGCATCAGCCAGGCGACGGAGCGTTTGTAGCGAGTCCAGCTTGAGAATCTGCTGGGGTCAGGGAGAACAATCCCTGTGCTGAGATCAGTGGAGGTGAGATTCACGACCCTGACCTCGGGATCACCATCGTTTATGGCCTTTTGGCGAACCTCTGAAGGCCATTGATCCGGCGGCTGGCGAAGGAAGGCAGGTCCTTGAATCCAGCGGCTATCCGGTGTCAACTGAGAAGCCGGCAGACCCCGCGAGCAGTCGTCCGCCGGGTTTAGGTATCCTGGGACATGCCGCCACCGCGATGGTTCTGAGCCTTGGCGAATCTCTGCTATTCGGTTGGCGATGAACGTGTGGAAGCGTCTACTTTCGTTGTTGATGTATTGGAGAACCACCATACTGTCGCTCCAAAAGTTGACTCCATCAATTGCGAGCTTCAGTTCTCTTCTGATGGCGTCTGCCAGTCGAACGGCTAGCACAGCCGCTTGAGTTTCAAGCCGAACGATAGTCATCTTCTTTAATGGAGCGACTCGAGTCTTGCTCATAACGAAAGAGACAGACACAGTGCCATCAGCCGATGTCTCTCTGAGGTAGGCCACGGCCCCGAAGGCGAGCTCGGAAGCATCACAAAATATGTGAAGCTGCCGATCACGTGCAGGTGAGTCGCATGCTTTGAAGCTCCAAGGAACTGTGAGTGCTTCTAAGCACGCCAATTCTCCCGTCCAACGAGTCCATTCTTCCGCCGTCGTTCCTGTGAGCTCACAGTCCCAGTCGAGTTTCAGTGCCCACAGTTTCTGCATCACGATTCTTGCGAGAAGAGTGAATGGAGAGGCGAATCCGAGTGGATCGTAGATGGAGGCAGCCATCTGAAGGATACCCCGTTTTGTAGGAGGCACAGTTCGGTGATGAACATGCAGCCTTAGCAGGTCAGTCTCTGCGTCCCACAGCAAACCGAGGATGCGTTCTGTCGGCAGCTGCACGGTCAGATCTGCCGCTGATGGCGTACGCTCGGACTCTGGCACAGCGGCGAGGACGTCACGAGCATTGCTGAGCCATTTGGTGAGTCTGAAGCCTCCTCGAGATACGAGTGCTGTCACTGCTGTGAGGCTAGAAATAGCCGAGTCGCTGTTTGGCTCCGAGCTGAGGAAGTCGTCCATATAGAAGTTGCAGAGGACCGCTTCTGTCGCCGCTCTGTCCGAGTCAGTGTCAGCCGCCATGTCATTGGCGGTCTTGCGAAGAGCATACGATGCCGAAGCCGGTGAGCACCGGGCTCCAAAGATAATACGGTCCATTTGGTACACATCAGGAGGCCGGGTGGTGTCCAAATCTCGCCAAAGAAAGCTGAGTGCCGGCTGATCGTCCTTCACTGCCGCCACCTGATGGTACATCTGTTCGATGTCGGCCGAAACGCCGACTTGCTGCTCCCTGAATCTCAGAAGAACGCCGGGAATCGTCTGAAGGAAGTCAGGGCCAGTGAGAAGCTGACTGTTCAGAGAGGTTCCTCTGTAGCTGGCTGCAGCATCGAATACCACACGGATCTTTCCTGGCTTGTTTTGGTTGACCACTGCATGGTGCGGCAGGAACCATCGTTTCTTGTCTGCTCTCTCGAGTTCTTCTGGGCAGAGCATTCGAGCGTATCCCTTGTCCAGATACTGTCGAAAGGTATCTTTGTATGCAGCTGCCGTCCCTGGTTGGCGGAGAAGTCTTTTTTCCGTGCTCTCAAGCCGATTCAGTGCTGCTGTGTAGTTGTCTGGCATGGAGACGTCGTCTGATCTCCACAGTAGACCGGTCTCGTACCTGTCCCCGCGCCATTTCGTCGTCTCAGCGAGCAGCTTCTCCGCGCGCCTATCTTCAGCTGATGAGGCGACGTTCTCGCTGAATTTGGTGCCGAAGGACTCGGTGGACCACCATTCCTTCACCAGAGAGCTCAACTCTTCTTCTCGAGTGTCAAGTCGTGCCATGTGCATGACGTGACGAGCACCAGGCGAGACCAGCTGTGTGATGTTGCCGCTTAGACACCAACCAAAGGCTGTACGAACGGCCACTGGCTGGCCTGGCCTACCAACGCGTGCCTCGTGCTGCACTATTGCTTCAGTGACGTTAGCGCCTAACAGTAGTTCGATCGGCTTGTCACTAGTGTCTGGAATGTCGAGATCGGAGAGATGGAGCCACTCATGTCGCCGACTCCAGTCGATTGTTTGCGGCTGCACGTTCAGCTTAGGAACGGAGTATACCTCTTGTACGGTAATATCCGTTCTTCCGTTTCCATCCGACATTGGCGATACCTGCAGTTCAAATCGGTGCACAGTTCTCTTCTCGCCGGCCCCTTCGACGTTGTTGAGTTGCAGCTCCTGGCGTTCTCCGATGATACCCAGGCGCTGCCTCAGCCGATCGGTGCAGAGAGAGGTTTGTGCTCCGGCGTCCAGTAGTGCGTGCGTGTCACTGCACTCGCCGTCTGGCCCGTACACACGCACTGGTACGACTTGAAGAAGTGTAGGCGTTCTGGTCGCATTCAGCGCGGCTCCGATCGTGCGATTAGTTGAGTGCTGCTCTGCTGGATCCATATGTTGTTGGATTTGCTCGAGCGCGGCAGCCTGCTCCGTTCCACGACGCTCGAAAACACGCTGGCTGCCATGTAGTAGCTGGTGGTGTCTGCCTGCACAGCCGGCAGAACTGCACTGTTGGACAGATGTGGACGGGCACCTTCTCGAGATGTGTCCCGTCTCCAAGCAGCGAAAACATCTGTCATTGTCAGCGATGTATCGAGCTCGTTCCGACACCGACTTTTGGGCAAATGCATTGCAGCGAGCCAAGTCGTGTTGGCGATTGCAGAGGGGGGCACGCCGGCTGGGAGCCATGCTGAGTGGCCACCGTGGCGAGAGCCGAACGCGCACTCGATCCATGCCTCTGACGCGACGCCGGCGGTCGGCGCTGACTGTCTGCCGCTGAGCTGATGCCGCTGTTCCCTTCACGCTCAGACATTGAGCTGCTGAGTAATATCCGGACTTGTAGAGCTAGCCAGTCATCTAAATCCGACAGTGTGACTTGCCTTGGCTCCAGCTCTACTGCTCGTTTTCCCCACTCGTGACGAAGTTGAATCGGCAGCTTCACGACTGCTCGTCGCAAGTTCTCGCGGCTCGTGACGTCACCATGATAGCCGAGCGATTGGAGAGTCGTAACCGCGGAATGGAGACGAGCTTGAAACTTTTCTAGGGCTGCTGCGTCGAGGTGCTTCAGAGGCTGGCTCTCGAAAACAGCCCTCAGGTGTGCGAAAACGATATCGTCACTCCTGCCGAATCGACTTTGGAGAGCTTGTAGCGCCTGCGGGTAGAGCTCGCCATCGTACAGCATCCCTTCGATTGTTTTCTGCGCCAGACCAGTGACTGCCGACTGTAGATGAACGATTTTTTCTGCGTTTGACAGCCCTGGTTGCTTGTGAATCAGCGCCTCGAAAAGTCCAATCCACTTTGGCCACTCCAGAGGCTCACCCGAGAACTTCGGCAGTGCTATGCGCGGCACGCTGTGGAGATCGGTGTGACGCGCTGTCGTCTCTCTCTGTTGAGCTGGTGAGGCCTCAGGACTGTTCAGCCTCCTGATCCAGTCTGCTGTTCTCAGGTTGCTGTCACCAACGTTCGCGCGTTCATGCTCAACTTCACAATCGGCAACAGCAGCTTCGTCTCTGATGTCATCAGTTCTATCCAGATTGACTGTCCCTGACTCAATGGCTTCTTGCCGCAGTCGAGCTTCAAGTTCGGCTGTTTCAGCCGCTTCTCTAGCCGCCTGAATCTTCAGGTTAAATTCCTTTTCGCACTGAAACGTTTTTCTTCCTGGCGACTCTTCAAGGCGGTCAGACGGGCCTGAATCACAGCCTCATGTGACTGAGCCACAGCTGCCGTCGAACGATGGGACGACGCTGCACCAGCTTCAGAAGCGGCCTCGTCAGATCTCGATTGAAGGTAAGTCATTATCTTTTGAACGATACTGTTCCGCTGCGCTTCGATTTCAATCATGTATTCGTTTGCCTTCGATTTCTCTTCCTCGTCCGTCAATACCAGCAAGTATGACTCATTGGAGTCCGTCACTGTGTCCATTGCACGGTCAATATCACCGAGCAGCTCTTGGAGAATGGTACGACTGCCTCGAACTGCGATCAGATTCTCGGCTCGATTGCAGATGCGTGTCAAACACGACTTCTTGTTTGCTCGGATCCGCTTCAATCTTGCTGCTTCGGGTGATTGATCCATGTTGATTATTTGCTGATGTTGAGCAGCACGATCATTCAGAGCATACGTTGTTATGCTTAGAAGCCATGCAATGCGCGGAACGTTACGTTATCTGTGGTCATTACGTTAAGTGCGAACGATGCGAAACTCAAAACGTAACTGAATTCACGATAATGACGTTAGAGCGAACGACGATATAACGCTCAAAGGCTACGTTATTCGTGAACATTACGTTAGAGCGAACGAGACGACACACAAATTACGTTATCCACGACCCGGAGGACCAAAAAATGTTGCGAACGAATCGAATCCGGCCCCGATCGACCGGTAAAGTTACGAATATGCAAAATCCGAATAATACGGAAGTCGAATTAAAACTTGTTCCGAATCGATCAATCTATATTGTCCGCCATTTTTCCTTCTAATTTCAACGAGTTCATTCACACGACAACAATAGCACCGACGAAATTCCGACTGCGTGAAAATATGCAAAATGGCGCGTGCCATAAAACACTGGAGCCGCTACGGCGGCGACAGCCCTACAACAAGGCCCTCTACTAGGTCCACCTCACCTTGGATATGCTGGCCGAGTACTGCTTCATGGCAATCTTCTCGACCGTGCTCTCGAAGCCGAAAAACGACTTGACGTCCAGACTGGCCGTCTGTTCAAAACACGTCCAGTCGGGGTTTTCTGGGTGCACCTGGCAAACAAAAATACAAAACTAGATAAACACAAAACTCAGGCACCGATTTTCAGATAACATCGCAAAGTGAACGAGTAAGAGTTGTTGAGAAAAAACTGCTTTGATAAAATAATTTGTTACGAAATTGTTCTCGACAGTTGATTGTTGGTAGGCACATGGCCTCGATAATTGCATTGGTCGCTGGTACAATTCCACTCTGATATTGAACATATGCCCATTAATGATTAAACTACGCAATGGTGAATATTATGGGAATACATGGGTAAGCGCAATGCATTAACAACGGATATGTATTATAGTCAGTAAGGGGTAAAAATCAAAAAGACCGTAGGAAAGCTGTCCAGTACACCGCACGTCTTGATCTTCACATGGACCCAACATATTCAATTCATCGCGTGTCTCTCCTTGTGCCAACATTGTTTATAAATCGTTCGTGAAGTTTCGTCAGAACGCATACTTCTTGCTTCATGGTTACTTCCGTAGATGCCTTTAATTTTTTTAGAAGAGTCGAAACTACACATATATGTAGTTTCATTTTTATCGTGAACAAACAGGTTGAGCGCAGGTTATGTGGCTTTGTGACGCCTCACCTCACACTTTGCAATAATCCGTGTTATCATAATATGTAAACCGGCAGCAGAGTAGGACGGCAGAATGGAAAGTTCAAGTCCTATAAAACGCAGAGCTAAGTCTCGACGACGTGCCAAGTCTGGGCAGCCACCGCAGGCACCCGTATCGTGTCAGTCTTTGGGTGAATAACTACGTGGGCAAGAGACCGGCGACAGGGACTCGCGGTACATGGAATAAACGCGTGTGCGGCCATGGACACGTTGACATCGGGCACTGTCCATATTTGCTCGCTAAATACGTCATGGAATTTAAAATGAGCTCCGTCGCTGACGTGCAAATCAGAGGCATCGGTTGTGTAAATTCTATCACACTATCAGTGACGAAGGTTGCGAATCACGAAGCAATAAAACCACCACTTGTTGATATTTTATATAAGCGTTTTAGAGGTTACGATAACGTGATCTAATGCCCCTGGTATGAAATCTGAGGCCCAAACGTTACATGCTGCCTGCGGAGAGCACGAATGTGTCAAAACATCGAAATACCTGAAACCAAGGAGCTTTGCAAAAACCCTCACCTGGCACGCGAGGATTGGTACATAAACACTCTATAACGCAGTCGCTTGACCTTTAGGGCGCCCCACGTCAACCGGGCCAAAGGTAAATGTCGATTAAATGTTTAATGACTCACTCTCCTGCGCGGAATCGGAAAGACGTCATTTACGTCACGAGATCGGGTGAGCGGGTGACGTGCCGACTGCCGGAAACAGCTGCCGCCTCCGGGGTCACGATAGTCCCAGAGGTCGTAGAGAGAAAGAAAATGTGTAAAGATAACCGATAAACATGAGAAACATGACAGATGATAACGTAGATAAATATGCTATCGGATGATAAAGCATTAGCCCGATAATGCTGAGCTTTTTATTTCGTTTCAGTTATGTAAGCGTCTTGACATTCAAGTGTACAGTACTGGGCAGTGGGTATGCAAATCTTTCGGCCCTGCGCGTTTTTTTTTTTTTAGAGACTTTGAACTGCATTCTTCATAATTTTGACATATCTAATACCAGTTTCAAATAGTATCTCTCATGTCGAGATATCAGTAATATGCCCGAAATCTGCGGTGTATCTCTTCCACCAGCCCTTCGGTTTCCAAACGATGCTATCGTCATTTCCGGCCGGCTGGGTTAGGCGGAAATGGTGGCCGCTGAGATACCGGGGAACGGGCCGGCCGTTCGCGCCAAGGTCAGCCGACGTCCCCCCTCCCCCTCCCCGGTATGGGACAGTTCGGCGTGGAGCGAGCGGTGCCGAGAGCAGGCCTGTCAAAGTCGCTCGGCTTGGACACATTTTCCCATACTGCCTATATTGGAACAGTCCCTTCGGTAGCAGTAGTTATTGAAGCTATGCGACTGAGAAGTGAGGCCAAGGCAATACATAGTTTGTTTGCTATCAAGTACCGGGTAGTACAGTTCGGCTAAAATTGCACTGATTTATAAATGCAACGTGATACATTTTACGGTAAAACAGCAGTCGGGGGCAAAAGTTGAATAAAATTCACAATGTGCGCCCACTTTTGGTTCATGCAACCGTTTATACGTAAAAGCGATTGAAACCAGTGGAAGATGTATGTAGCGTAAATTACAATGTTTACGTCTCATCGGCCACTGATGAAAATGCAGTTATTTTATTTTTGCTCTGGTTTTTAATCAGCTGAAAGTAATCTTCATATAGTCAAAATAATATAGTGCTTTGCGTCAAAGATCAAAAAGCCATGAAGCCAATCCGAGCACCCAGTGACGGTCGTGTATCAAGAAGCAGCATTACATATTTACCCGTCCCACGCCGTGCGGGCGCCGGGCACTCACCGGATACCGGCAATTTTCGCTCCTGACCACCCGGGCACTCACCGTATACCGGCAATTTTCGCTGCTGACCACCCGGGCACTCACCGGATACCGGCAATTTTCGCTCCTGACCATCCGGGCACTCACCGTATACCGGCACTTTTCGCTGATGACCACCGGGCACTCATCGTATAGCGGCAATTTTCGCTGATGACCACCCGGGCACTCACCGTATACCGGCAATTTTCGCTGCTGACCACCCGGGCACTCACCGGATACCGGCAATTTTCGCTCCTGACCACCCGGGCACTCATCGTATTCCGGCACTTTTCGCTGCTGACCACCCGGGCACTCATCGTATACCGGCACTTTTCGCTGCTGACCACCCGGGCACTCACCGTATACCGGCAATTTTCGCTGATGACGACCCGCGTGGCGTAGCTCTCGTTCCAGGCCTCGATGTGCAGTGTGCGCGCGCGTCGGTCCAGCGAGTTTTTCTGACGGAAGTAGATGTACTCGACGCCCATGATCTGCCAACACGCAGGATACATCGGGTCATGATAGAGCAACAGCACGCACATGTGCTTCCACGCCCGCATACGGCGGCAGTTTTTCCGACAGACTTTTCAGAGTGTTAAAGTTTTCGCTGGATGTTCAGGTGATTGGTCCTAAGTTAGACCAAAAGATATGCCATTGCACCGGCAATATGAGTCTCCTGAGATAACGACATTCCTCACATCAATGGAAAGGGGTTCCCAACAGTTTTGCTAACTGATACGTTGCAGGCCAAATATAAAAATATCGTCATGCAGATTAAGCTATTCGCTAAGTAGAAATTAGTTTAGGGGGAATCGTGATTAAAAGCTAAACATGTTTTATTATTGCCCCTGCAGGGGCCATTACTGGGCTGCTCGCGTCTTGTAAACAAGATTTGCGGAAGGAATCATTCTGCACCGCCCGACATAATTCGCCGAATTTCACGGGTATGCCATGGCCCATGCCTTCTGACTGTGGACGGACTATGAAATGTGGAATCTGCCAGCCGGGTTACTCTATACTTGTCAGTATGACGGCACGGCAATAACCATTGCTATAACATTTTTAAGCACGCATTTTCCGAGGCCCATCAACGTCTCTTCATTACACGCATGTATAAGTCAAAGTGTCTGCCACCGCCTCAATCGATGCGAAACGGTCCGGCAATCTGGCCCAGTACGCCCACAGCGACCATGTGCCTCTACCGACCCCATCTGTGGCGAGTGTTGACGACCCGACCGCGGCGGTCGGCCGGTCGGCGCAGCTGTGAACGGCCGGCCAGCGCGCCACACTGCAGCACGCGCCGCCAAGGTCGCTGGGTCACAAGGCCACCGGCCCGGAGTGACTGCGATTTCTCGACGGTGCGTCACGGGACGACTCGGACCCGCCGGCGGCCGCCCTGCACCGGTCAGCCGCGACGGTCCTCACTCCTCGCACCGCAGCGCCAGTCCCGGACCCGGGCGTCAGACGAGACCAGTTGAGACGGATTGTTATGAAAACGAGCAGCGGGTGGACCGGATAGGCGGCTCTACAAGCCTACGCGATGCTCAGGAGACAGGTGTATGTATGTCAGTAAAAGATACGACAATGGACCGACATACTGATTGTCGCAAGGTACCATGGCAAATGACTTAATTATTAAATAATAATGTCAGAAAATATTCGCACAGGGCTCAGAACAGACGGAAAATGTCCCCAACAAGACTTAAGACTTATAACAGTTTGAAGTTTCTACGGGCCTGAGACTGACTTGTGTAGGACTACCGGTCGGTGACCGCTTGTGCAGATAAATGTGGGGTCGGTGACCGCTGATGCAGGGCAATGTGGATTGTGGGGTCATTGGCCGCTGATATAGGGCAATCTGGATTGTGGGGTCATTGACCGTTGATACAGGGGAATGTGAATAGGGTTGGGACCTATCTGCATGCTCTGTATGTTTTGGTAAAATAAAAAAGCTCAGAATTTTTAATGATTTAATTTAAAATCACTTTGTTAAAAAAATGCCTAGTTAGTTCAGAAATTAATTATTTGTGGCTGAAAACAACTTGCTTCTGATTGGTCGGGCTAATCATGACGTCACATGTAGGTATATAACTGTCTGTATATTTGGCGCAGTTGAGACATACATTTTCTATGTATTTTCCTATGGTAAATCGGAGTGATTGGTCGTGTTTTCAGCGTCTCTTTATTTTGCGCTGGTATTGCGTGGCTAAGAAGTTTTATCAAGAATGGCATATACTAAAATGTTCCTTTAATAATGGAGCTTCAATATCTGTGAGTTTTATTGGCAAGCGATAACTGATTTCGCTGTTATTTTATCTGGAAATTACTCATTTTTTTAGGTCAATATTCAAAATATTTTACGGGAACAAGTTGGCACTTTTCTTGATTTTTGCACTCAAATCGCGTGCGATTCAACTGTATTGGAACTTGCAAAGAAGCTTGGTGATTAATTAACTGTGTTGTTATGGCACTGTTTGCAAAGCATGGATAATGAAACTCTGCCAAAGACTTAGCTACATAGCAATGCCTCAAGTAATACGCAAGAGGGACAGAATTCAGAGTCCGATCGAGAAGAATCGGTGCAAATGCTACGAAGACCAGGCAGCTCTGATACAATAGCTAGTCGTCTCACTACTCTCACTCCATAAGACCAGCTGATTCCTGACAGCACCGACTCGGATGCAAAGATCGAGCTCATCTTCCAAGCCAGAAACCAGTTCTTTGATGGAAGATGTGATGCTGCCTCTGTCTCTGCTTTGTTTTGTTGGCCACTTTGGACGGGGCGGAGCTCCGCTCCTTGCGTGAGCGGTTATTCGCCTGTCATCCAGAAATAGTTCCTTCGTTTGCTGGCCGTTCCCTGATTAGGTGCAATACGGGGAGCTGTAATCAGGGAAGTAACTTTCCATATGAAAGGGGTGCAGGTGCACCCCCGTCCCCCATCCACTAGAAGTGCACCCCCATAGGCTAAGCGGCGCCCCACACGCCGCCCCACACGATTAGCTCTAGAGCAGATGGCGAGGGTGATTTCTCGGCTACATTCCATCTCGGCGTCGTGATGCTTGTGGGCTTGGAAAGCGTCCAGTCGTATGTAGGGTAGTGTAGGGGTAGGGTTGAGTTCAATAAGGTCCTTACATTTGAAAGGTTTGAACAACCCGCAATCAGCACAACATACCACAAGTTAAATAAAAAACTACCAAACTCCGCCCAACTAATATTAATAAACATTACAGCCAAACTAATGGCCTAAATAAAAATATATCTCAAATCCTAACAGTTATCGCGAGTGATGGCGCCATGAGTTGCTATTATTCAAAACAGATGCAAATAAACATGTTTGTATGTCCTATGTATGTTTGTTTTAAAAACGTTGCAGCGGCGCTGGGAACTGCAGTCTTAGATCTGGGTATGTTTGGCATCTGCAACTCTTCATATACCTACACATTAACCCTATTTCGGACGGGGAGACCTTTTAGGATTTTCTTGTACAATTGCCAAACGCCGCGAGACATTCAGCTCATATTTGGTGACTTTTCCTAAATGCTCATTTCGCACATCTCAGCAAAAAAAAAAATGCCGGGTCAGGTCAGGTCAGGTAACCAGAGCGGGTTTGTTGACCCCACCTCAGAAAAGTTTGCAAACACGTCAGAGCTTGAGTTTTTCACGAAGTTATTTCCTTTCATCAAGTCTTCAAAACAGTACCTGCAGTATGTGTCGTTTGTATATCTCAGAATTTTTGATCTGTGACCTGAGGTTAGGTCAGAGTCGTGACCTTTACATTGCAAGCCTATGGAAAAGTATTGAAATGCGACCTGCACCTCGAGTAAACGAGTCAAAACCACCCAATTCTTTAAGAATTATGACAAATTATCTTATCTGTAATGATCCAGGTGCCATTTACTGACAGGGACACCGGAGAGGGTTATCTGAGCCGAGATCATGTGAGGTGATATCTACCAGTATAGCGCCTTTTGGGGCGACTAACGGAGCGAGCGAGAGGGTGAGCCTTGCACGTGCGAAATATCGAGGGGGTACCTCCAACTGACTTGTGCACGGCACCCTACTAACCGGTCTCTAGCGATGTGCCAAATTTGAGCACGATCGGCCCAGCCGTTCTCGAGATCTGGAAGCGGCACCCTGCACGTGCGCACGTGCAGAATGGGTCCCAACTGACTTGTGCACGGCACCCTACTAACTGGTCCCTAACCGTGTACCAAATTTGAGCGCCATCGGTCCAGCCGTTCTCGAGATCTGGAAACGACCCCTGCACGTGCGCACGTGCAGCACAGTGCTGGAAATGAGGCCGCTTTCTGGTCCCGGCGTTTTATTCTCCGGGTGAGTTAGCCCCGTCTAGCGCTTAGCCTTTCGGGACCCTCTCAGAGCCGCGGTTGTTTTCGCCGCTCGGCCCATTCGAGATGCAAAGTTGATAGTCGCATGAAGTTTATTTGGGGCCTCTGAATATACGACTTCGAAATTAATCGATTCTACAAAACCTTTTACTTTCATCTATGTGCATACATTTAACAGTAACTCCAGACTAGACTGGTTTGGCAAGCCCTAAATAAGCTTCGTGTGACTATTAACTTTGCATCTCGACTAGGGCGAGCGGCGAAAACAACCGCGACCCTCAGTGGGTCCCGAAAGGCTAAACGCTGGACGGGATTAACCCGCGAGGAGAATAAAACGCCGGGACCAGAAAGCGGCCTCATTTCCAGCACTGGTGCAGCAGCACCCCAACTCTGGCACATGGATATGCAGTGCCTAGTGGGTGCCTACCTACATGCCAACTTTCAGCGCAATCGGCCAAGTAGTTACCGAGATATTGCAACAATTACAAAACTGACACCTCTTCGTTTTGCGCGTGGCACGTGCATAAGGGGTCACCCACATGCATCGGGAATAGTCCAATACTTGGTAGAAGGAATGAAGCTACCCTACAAAAATTACCCCATGTAAATCGGTCAAGTGGTTGCTGAGATATAAGCCTCGCAAAAGCGTCCGCACGGCCGGCCGGCCGGCCGGCCGGCCGCTCATTCTCAGAAATTTCCGTTAATCTAAGGAAAGACTACGCTCGCTTCGCTCGCTCCGTAACCATACATCAATGCTCACAATGCTTACAATATTGACAATGCTTTTGCTTACAACACTAACAATACTTACGATGAGACCAGCAAGCACTCTGCCGTTACAGTTCTAACTTCTGTTTCGAAAAACGACGTTACACACATTCGCTGCCAGCATAAGATGTATTGTTTGACAGTAACAAAATACAATTGACATCTGAACCCCAAACGGACCGCCATCCACTCAAATTTTATTACCCTGACCGGTCAGGGGGCGAATGGAGGTCATTTCCTGGGCATTACACTCAGCCCTTGCACAAAATATCTCACCTCACAGTGATCATTACAACAATAGCACCGACTTGATAGTGGATTTCAAAGTACTTGCATCAGCTCTTCCTGCTATTGCAGACGATCATCTCCTCAGGGTAATGTTGTTCGGGACATGAACGAAGATCGTTTTCGGAGTTTCATAAGTGCTACTGCAACAGCCTGGCATAAAACAGGACTTGTACGCTCTTCTCTGCACTTTGCCCTTCAGTATATCACAAAAGAATTGTTTAGAATCCATCTTACGCTTCTTTCACAGTCTCCCTTGCCACCGTAGGGCGTAGATAGATTGCTGTTGCTGGTAAGTTAAGGCACGGTAGATAGAAATTACCTCGGTTCTCAACGCCTTAAGTTATTTTCATAAAAAAGAACAAATAAATGATCAATAAGATGACAGGAATGTAAACATTTTAATCGTAAAGTAGTCCAAATATTGCAATGAGCTTTTGCTTTTCAGCATCCTCCGATTCATCATCTTTATCATTTGAAAATTCGAGGTACATAAAATGTTTATCACGCGCTCATGTTAAGTGGGAATATAGTACACGGCAGACACATCAATTTTTGACACTGAACATTTCATCCGTAAATGTTTTAGCATAATTTAAAGTTAAAAACAGCGCGAATGGCAGAGTGAAGCAAACAACATCTTTCACCCATTGATATAACATGTAATCTGTGGTGCGCCAGATGCGCCATTATTTGTCAACCGCAGAAGGTGACATGTGACGTAACAGCATCAAGAGCATCTTTTTTCAAGAACTTTTCAAAACAAGTTTCCTATCTTTCTTCCCCCATTTCTCTCAGCTTATTGATTTTATGAGGCAATGGTATGCACCATAAATTCTGTGAAAATAGTTTGATCATTTTCATGCATTCTTAAAAAATCGAGTTCCCAACCCCATTCTAATGTCCGCGAGACCAATGGTGCAGGACACTGTGAGATTCCACCGTTCATAGGGGACACGGTGGTGTCGGTGAGCGGTTAAAAGCGGTGTATTAAAAGCGGAGTTCTATAGCCTTGGTGTATATGTGCGACAACCGACACAATACACCGCTTTTAACCGCTCTGAAACGGCATTGGGGGATCTACAAGCGCTCTTTAGTAACAGCGACAAGTTCATGAGGACTCACCTTTTTCAGGAGGTAGGGCACGTCTACGTGCAGGCTGCACTTGCGCTCGACCACGTGCTCGGCGCCGTCCTCGCTCTTCTCTTCGACCACCTTTTCGGTGTTGGCCAGGATGGGTATCATGTCGCAGGTGGGAAACCGCCGCTCGTACGCCTGTGGGCGCAGACGGCACGGTAAGGGTCAGCCGCAGCTGCGATGGGAGTAGGACGATCAAGGCAGTCCCAAAACCGAGCGGCAATGTTTACTCGATTTCGTCTAAATATATCACAAATTCCATTTAACAAGCACACAAACGAGCGAACTACTGGTGAAACAGTAGATAAAATAGCTAACAATACCGAAGCAAGCGATCTGAGATCGTGCATTGTCCTTCTCAAGATGTAGCATTATGAAATGAGACACGCTGGTCCAGGGTAAGCCAGCAGTCAGCACTCACCTCCATTACTAGTTCGAATGGGTATTTATACACCCGAATGGGTGATGTGTATTTTTGCACCATGCTTGCTGAAAAGATGTGCACTCCCGGGCCTGTGAAGAAATGCAGGGCAAGTAGTTAGTTTCAAGAAAGACAGAGTTGAGGAAAAGGTGAGGTCAAAATGATGGCCTAAACGAATGAGAACACTGCTAACAAGATAAAAATTTAATGCATTGTGCATGCATACATGTGTGAAATATATGAAATAATTGTATAAAAATATTTAAACTATATTCAAAGAGCTGAAACGTAACAATATCAGAAGACTTCAAATCGCTCCCCTAAACGGTAGAACAAACACATTTACAGAAGAGGCGAGAGAACAGAGAGAATACAGTGTTACTCGCTAATTTCAGTCATAACGAAAAATGACGACTGAGTGTAATCGAAAAATGTAATCGGTTTCTGAGTATCTTGCCAGCAGCTCTCAGTAGGTCTGGCTTCAAAACGTAGTTTGCTACGGGAGGTCATCAACAGGGAATATTGAATTAGGCCACCACATCGAACATACATCTCACGTTTTGTTCAGCTGTAAGCTGACCTTGCCACAGGGAATACACACAGGTTATTGGAATCAAATAGGACGACTTAATAATATTACCTACAGGGTTGCTAAAATGCAACATTTTCAAATAGCTCTCAGCACCCTATAAGCAGGGCTGTGGAGTCGGAGTTCGAGTTAAAGTCGGTTGGAGTCGACAGTTCTGCCCGGAGACGGAGTTGAATTCTGCATGTTATTTTTGATACAAATTTGCAATGCAAAGCCTTGGAACGCACAAGGGATCGTTTCAGGGAAGGGAAGACATCTCCATCGTGAACTTGATCCAGCATTGATTTCACGTTGATTTTGTGTTATAATTGGTTGAATCCAGTTTGATTGTCAACATTGAGGATCAATCGACTTTCGACATTGATGAACTTTGACTTTCGACTTTCGACACCACATGGATTTGATCGATGAAAGCCATGAAACAACAGCCGCTGATATCAATTAGCTGATATCAATCCGCAATCGAACAGCACACGCAACAGCACTATCATTTGTGTGAAAACCCAATGACATTAAATGGTAAATGATGCAACGTGTTTGCATAAAGGTAGCATTTGAGTTACCATTAGTTTTGATTGGGTCAGTTCTTTTTTTTTACCAAAGAAAAAAACTTAATTTAAGATCAAGCTTTCTTTTTAAAATCACGGCAACTAACCACTATAACAAACACTAGCCTATCCCTATTCCATCACACTTGGCCATTGATTCAGCAAGAATCAGGATAATTAACATCATAAAGGGAGGGCAATGCTGCCATGCAAAGGCAAAAACTACTAAGGTCGGAGTCTGACCTCACATTGTAGTTTTTGCTTTCGCACGGCAGAATGACCAGAAAAAAAAAATCTGATCACAGGGTGAAGTACTTTTATGTGCAGCAAAAGCTTAGTAGCTTGTTATGTTGATTGAGACCTAGCAGTTGATAACTTTAACAGCCTTTTTTAACAGTACACCAAATGTATAATCGTCACTTGTGTTGAGCTAGAAATTTATATAGATAGATAGATAAATTTAGGCAGGTGTAACACTTGTTTTTTACAACCAAGGAGAGGTGCTATGCCCAGAGATGCTTTCAAATCAAACCACACCAAACCTCCCAATACTAATAGACAGTTCATATCAGGGTATATAGAACAACGTTTATATACTTTTGCGGTTTAACTTAAAATTGTAATACTCAGCAATCAGCATGTCCGACAGTTTTGTGACTAATTTGTTGCAATTTGTCATCATAAGTAACATAAAAATACGAAATAACCTAATTGCACTGAAATAATAGCAATATAAAATATACAGAGGTTAAACCTAGACAAATTCAAGCAGTCTCAATGCTAAATAATATATGAATAGCTCAGCACATTAGTGTCACACACATCGATCCACAATATGAATAGTAATCCTACATACCAGCTTGAGCTGCATTTACCTAAGGAGTGCTTGTCACCAGCTTAAATGTGATAACCTTATGCAAATGCTTAGTGCCATTCCAAATGATGCACAGATACCAACCGAACTCACCTAAGTTACCCCAATTTCTGAATATTTATCCTACAATACTCAGTCCACCCAGCTCCCCACACAAATGTGCTACGCGGGTGAGTATTGAAGCATCCAAGAGCGCAGCATCCAAGGGACGCAACATCCAAAACCTTAGCATCCAGCGATCAAAACGTCCGAATAACATCCTAAACCGACCCCTTAGGGATGATTCAGACTCATCCAAGAGCGAAACATCCAAAACTGCAGCATCCAGGACCACAGCATCCAAAATCGTATCATCCAAATTGGCAGCAACCAAGGACGAGGAATTGCAGCATCCAAGAGTGAAACATCCAAGGGTGCAGCATCCAAAACCGTATCATCCAAAAAACATTTTTGGCACCGCAGCATCCAAGACCGTATCATCCAAAATAGTGACATATGTTGTACAAGCTGTAAACTATTAGTTCAATGGCTGTCCGATAGGTGGTGGCACGTACGGTTCATAAGTGACGGAATTGTATGACATCACTGAGTCTCTATACAGTGGCATCCCTATAATGACCTTACATCCTCAAGACGGAGGTGCGTAGCTGCTGGTAGCGACATCGCTGCGATACCACTACAAACCTGACAGATGACATGAAGACGCATTGCAGCGTATCCAAGCGCGGCACGTATGTAGGTAGGCTGAGCCGCTGAAGTGTCGATAATGGAGACCGATACCGAAAGTGGGTTTATTAATTGCCCTTTGTTTTCACACCAGAAGTGCCTAATAAGTCGTGAAGTGTCCACTATCCCCGTAACCAAGCCTCCGCAAGGATCTTCATCTCACCGTCAGATCGCGCTTATCATCGTCAGCTCCTCCCGTTCCTTTACAGTTAACCTTTTTCCTGTCCTATGTGATATAGGGCCTGTTCCAGCGCCTCCAGTAGAAATTCTTGACTGGAGGCTCTACCAGAGGTTTCACTGGAGGCGCTGGAACGCAATCTGGAGATTTCTGGAGGTTGGCGTCACAGATATCAAAAGAATGACGATTGTTCTTTCTTGAAACGCAAAATTTGTTTTCAATTTTATTAAGAAAGATTAACAAAATTATAGCAATGTAATTTTCTTTACATTCAAGTTGTAAAATAATCAGTCAAAAGTCCTTTGTTTACATTCGTGATTGTCACATGTGCACCATAATTGTAGACCAGAGCCTCCAGAGAAATTTGGACCTCCCAACTCTCTGGAGGCTACTGGAGGTTTCTGGAGCTTTGGCGAGAGCTTTCTGGAGCTTTCTGGAGGCGCTGGAACGCTCTCTGGAGGATTCTAGAGCTTTCTGGAGCTTTCTGGAGGTTTCTGGAGGCGCTGGAACAGACCCATATTCCATGTTCCAGAGGGCAAAAAATATAAAATAGCCGTTTATACCAGGGGTGCGGAGCCGGAGCCGGAGCAGCCGGAGCCGGCATATTTTGCCCAGAGCCGGAGCCGGAGCCGTAAAACAATATAGCCCGGAGCCGGAACCGGAGCCGGAGCCGTCAAAAAAGGGGTGACTCCGGCTCTTTTTTTAAGAAGAAAAAATTATTGACCTAGTTCGGCTTGACAGTACAAGGCCATGTGGTATTTACTATTCAAATTAGCCTTGTTATGCAAATACAGAGGCAACGTGTACCAATCCAATTTCAATCGCCCTTTCTCTTCCACCCGTAGGTATTTAATTAATCGCATAGGGGATGTACCTACTGAGAAGGAGCCGGAGCCGCCGGAGCCGGACCATTTTACTCGGAGCCGGAGCCGGAGCCGGACCGTCTGAAATTTCCACGGCTCCGCATCCCTGGTTTATACGAAAAAAGTTTTAGGTAACAGATTTTGACTGAAGGGAGCCACGACATTACTTTTACCAGCAACGTGTTCCCCTCGTCGAGTCGCGTCGAATGAAATTCGGACTTCTAAGGTCATTTGGAAAATTTGACCTCGGGTCAGGGCATGGCCTGACCGGAAAGGGTCATGCTGCATATCAGTTGATCCGTATCGCCGAGTTGAACACATCTGACATGTTTTTACCGCTCTAGCACGTCTGTCGTCTCTTATATGTATCAATTAAAAAGAAGTAGTTTAAAAAAACTGCTGGTGACCCTTCATGATCTGAGATAACCTCAGGGTCACACAAAGGGGTAACGGGTGCAATATTCGGGTGTGTCATGTTTTCCAATAAACCGATGTTTGAGTGTTTATAGATAGCATGGGCGTCGAAAGCGGGGGGACGGGGGACGCCCCCCCCCCCGGCAGTCGATGAATCCGGGGGGGGGACGTCCCCTAAAAAAATCGGCCATAAAGGATTTCAAAAGTGACTATTTGCAACGGTCATTCAACATGGAGTCATGTAAACAGAAATAAGCCATTTAAAAAAAAAAAAATACCTACTGATGCTGGTCAGTTCGACGGTACAACTGAGAACTCAGACACTTCAGCGGCTCAGGTACAGCCCACCGCTAAAGTAATGTAGGGTTTTACCAATCTCAACGGTTGGCTTTGACAGGCGATTGTTTAATGCGGAGTGATCGAAAAGAAGATGTCAATAGCTAAAGTTGCAGCTGCAAGGGTGACGATACATAATCATATACCTAAGCTATATTCAAAGTTTCATTGTAGTCTGGCTAATCGTTCCTAAGCTTCATAAGCAGAACATACTCATGACTGAAACCCCACATTACTTCTGCTGTGGACTGTACCAAAGGCTGAAGTCACCCACCAAAGGCTGAAATTCGGTCCTCTGGGTGGGGTGACAGCTGCATAAGCCACACATTCGAATATTCACAATACTCAAGCACTTCTAAACGGCCATCCTCCCGTGCTAGGCAAAACGACAGCCGAAGGGGCTCACCAGTTCACCATGACCTTAGAGTACCTGATGCTGATGTGAGAGGTCAGAGGACCTCGCCACGGTCTGGGATTTTTTTTTTATTGGTTTAGGACTTTTCGGTCTGACGAGACCATTTCAGAGCCGGAAGGAGATGGGAATTAGGGGGAGGGCGAGGGGGGACATTTGGTCTGGGCGAGCACCCTGATGAGTCGACGAGGCTGAGCCCGTCCAGAGGGGCAGGCCGACCAGCACCCCAAGCACACACCAGTCACCGCACGGCGCACCCGGTTACGGTCGTGCTCTTATCGGGGGTTCCCGCATGGGATAAAGTTGCCCGTCCAGCCCGGAACAAGGAGTTGAGGCGTTGAGGAGAGGGATTTGACTGTCCTGAGGATAGGAATGACGGAACGGTGTGTGGTATGAGAGGGTCCAGGAGGTTTGAATACTCAGTGTGGGTCTATATTGGTCTGACCTCTTTACTGATACAACCACCGTCCACCAGTCACAACGGTCAACAGAACCTACAGCTCTTATCCCACCTGCCCACGATCGGCTAAAACGGCTTCATAAATTTCGACTAACCAGTTAAGAGCAATGAGCATGACTTCAAGCCAGAGAATGTCGACTCTGACTTCGGAGTCGAAGTACAAACGACTTCGGTGACTCCAGCTCCGACTCTGGCCAGAGCTGTCAAGTCAAGCTGACGAGCTGTCAAGCTCCGGCTCCGATCCCGCAGTCCTGCACTTGCACTACACAAAATTACAAACTTCTAGGAAATAAGTTATACGGTTAAAGGACCACATTTTTTTTAGAGGGCTATTTGACTTTGTGACCAGACCTTAGTTAACCCTATTCCTGGCGGGCTCCGCCGGGACAAGAAACTGGCGGGGGGGGGGGCCGATTCGGCCCCCCCCCCCTGAGATCTCGAGAACGAAGCAAGATAGCGACAAGCGGTAAACGGCATCGGATACGCATGGACAAGGATCTACAATTTTTACTAAGGTCATTTTCAGGTCAGGTCAAAGATGACGTCACAGGGGTCGAAAAAGTCAAAATGGCGGCGCTAGATATGGAGAGAGTTTTTCTCGAATAACTTTCGAATTAGTCAAGATAGGAACAAACTAAGGGCATCATCGTGATCCTCTCGTCAATCCGCATCGAATGATATATATGTTGACCTCGAAAGGTCAAGGTCAAAGGTTGACCTCAGGTCACGTGACCTCGAGGTCATCATGTATATCATTTCGATGCGTCTTGACGAGCTGAACACAATGAGACCATCCACGCGTCTGTATCTTGTTCCTGTACGGAGTTATTTGCCAAAAACCTTTGGTGACCTTTGATGACGTCACATGACCTCACAGCTGCCCAACAGCAAAACAGACCTCAATGTAGTGAAGGTTGATCGTATATGAAGTCATGTATGGTATATGGGGCCATTCCGACCCGTTTTAGTGGTAAAAACAGGGAGTTGATTTTTCCCCCATTGACTTATAATGGGGAGGTCGCGAAACTGACCTGACCTTAGGTCACCGATATCAAAATTCCGAGATACACAAATTGCACATACTGGTACCCTAACTAAAGCCTGAAGAGAAGAAATTGATCGGTCAAAAACTCTAGCTCTGGCGTGATTGCAAACTTTTCTGAGGTAGGGTCACCAAACCGCCTCTGGTGACCTGACCTGAGGTCAGATCAACTCAAAATTTTCAGACATGTTGCGTAGAAGCCTTTTAGGAAAAGTCAGAAAATTTGAGCTTCCCAGCTCAACGCGTTTGGGAGAAATAACCAAAAAACCTCAGGGGGGCTCCTGAGGCCCCCCGCCAGGAATAGGGTTAAGGAGCCGTTTGGATGCCATGCCACATTTCGAGTCGGGAGACGTCACTGCAGACTTCGAAACTCCAAAATGACTTTATTAAGCGGATTGATAAACTATGGATATCTATGGAGAAAATCCGGGAACAGCTCAAGCCAGTAGCGGCGGAACACCTTCAATTAAGGGGGGGGGGGGTGGGCACTGCCGACTTTAGGTCCCATTCTTTCCATGCGTCGCCTATAGGGCTCATGTTAAAATGCCAAAATCAAAAGGGGACACGGTGCCCCGGTGCCCTCCCCGTTCCGCTGCCTATGGCTCAAGCGGCCACAATAAGCGGCTGGATTTATTATTCGAGGATTTATTCAGCAGATTCCACTGTACAGCATTAAAAAATAAGTCCACTGCAGGCCTGCGTTGCTAATGGGTAGGTACATCG